TTTGTATCCATAGGCGTTAAGATCATGCCTGTAAAAATGGCATGTACCTGCCCTTGCAGAAGTATATTATATCATTATATTAAGATCTTTCTGTAACTATTGAAGTCGCATTTTTGTTTCTTTATTTTATTTGTATAGAATGATAAAACAGATCTATGGCGCAATCGAAACATCGTTATGGTAGACCAGCATGCTGTTTCCCGGTCGATGAGAGGATGCGATATGATAACTGCAATAAGTGGTATCACAATGTGTGCACCGAACTCACCTCAGTTGCATATAAAGGATGCTGCAAACCATTATCACGTTCGTCGTGTGAAGAATGTTGTTCTACGATGTCTCTACTGATTCTAGAGACGATCAAGCTGATAAGCATAGCTGGGAAATTGCCCTCAGGTAAACGGGCAGCAGCAGATGATCGGAATTGTGCTCTCGAGGAAATTGAGGGTTTTATTATGAGCCCAGCTCTAGACTTAAATGAGACCATAAAGGTGGACCTCATCGAGGAAACGGATAGACACATGGATGTAGGCATTGTCACAAGGAGAAAGAAGAAGCGTAAGAAGAAGAAACTTCCTATAGACAGTACTGAGGCATGTGAATCTGCGGGTCCAGTCCCGAATACGCATATCAATTGAATGCAAACTATAGGGGAGCCAAGTCCGAGCAGTGCAGAGGAAGGTATCAAGAGACAAAATAAGGTAAATGAGTGACCCACAGTCACATCTAGGGTAAGAAAAATAAGAAAACAGAACGTAGCCTCCGTGTTTGACGCTGAATTGAGATCGGAGTGCAAAGAAGAGACGGTTTCAGGAACTAAAATTGCACAGCATGTCAAGACAGACATCTCTGAGGGGTCAGTCATTTTTCATAAGTTAAGAGGATCTTCCGATAAGTAACCAAAGGCTAGATTTGAACACGATCTCAGTCATATTAAGTTCTTAATAAGCAAGCTACTTCCAGAAACAGTTTCAGGAGCTAGTATCGTAAGCTTTATAAAATAAGACAAAACGTAAATTCTGAAATTCCTCAGAAAAGCCGCCTCTTGAAGGTTACATTTGCCACGGTTGAAGAAAGGAACCTGATTCTAGGTAACTCACGTAAACTGACTGGATCTGGAATATACGTCCGTGAGGATCTCAGCCTAGTTGATCGGATTAAGAGATGAGCTGCAGAAGTGGAAATAAATGAGCGCAACCGAAACGGTGAAAGAAACCTCGTTCTTAAGGGTTTTTAAATTGTAGAAGTTCTGAGCAAAACGATCCCTAAACCACTCTGGGTGGTAAGGGAAAGTTCTCCACAGACTTCAAGGTATGCCACACAAATGCTCACAGCCTACTAAGTAAAATGGCGGAGCTCAAGTCAGTGGTGGATAAAGAAAAACGGACGTTATTGCTGTTTCGGAAACTTGGTTAACGTCAGAAATATTAGATAGTGAAATGCAGTTGACTGGTTTTTTAACCACTTGGGCTGATAGGTTAAACTGTAGGGGAGGCGGGGTTATCCTGTACACGAAAATTACCCTAACCATAAGAGTAGCTGAGACAGTGGCATATGTTTCAGGGACATGTGAACTGGTGAGATGTGAGCTGAAATGTAGACGGCAAGATATTGAATTAGTTGCAGTATATCGCAGTCCAGAATGTGTGGCAGACGATTTTCTCCTAAGTAAACTTAAGTCCTGGAGTAACAAGGGTAAAAGCCTTGTAGTAGGCGACTTTAATGCACCGTATATAAACCGGGTTAACTTAGAAGTAGGGTCATCGATATCGTCGTTCGAATGCAAACTGTTGGAAACATCGATTGGATTAGCTTTATTCCAACATAATAAACATGTTAGAACCCCCACAAGATATGGCTTGAGAAACTCTTCTTCTCTATTAGATTTAATTTTCACACACGGAGATGACGTTGGACAAGTGACTTTCCTACCACCACTAGGAAGAAATGACCATGCAGTCATCTTATTTAAATTCATGGCTGAGATTGCCTGTCAAACAGTTGCCCCGGCCCGTCCTAATATATGGAAGGCAGATATGGAAGCAATCAACTCCACAGCATCGGCTGAAAACTGGTAAATTGACTCAACGGCATCAGTGCAAGAGGCATGGACTCATTTCAGGCAGTTGTACAATCGGGTAATTCAACCACATATACCCTGAACAGTTCCAAAGAAGAAGAAGCACGGACATCCCTGGACAGGCCGGGATATTCTACGTTTACTAAGACAAAAGAAGAAATGTTGGACTGTACGATGGAACGCTACAGATCGTTAAGAAACAAGTGTATAACTAAAATTCGGGAAGCTCAAAGAAAATATGAAATGCACTAGGCACAATCTACACTCAAGCAGCCTACGAGAATATTCTCGTACATAAACTACAGAACAAGGATGCATCATTGGATTCCCAACCTAATTAAAGAAGGGAGTGAATCTGAAATGATAGAGGAAGATCAGGAAAAAGCAGAGGTTATGGCTGACTATTTTGGGGTAGTTTTTACTCAGGAACCTCCGCTAGACAAAGAACCAAACCAAGATAAACAGTCAACAAACCACCTGCTCACCGTGGACTTCGATCAAGATGATGTGCTTAAGGCGCCTAGCACCTTAAACATGGAAACGTCAACAGGACCAGATGAACTACACCCCAAAATCTTGAGAAATATTGCTCAATATATCGCAGCCCCATTGACTGTGTGTTCAATATGTCACCTTACCAAGGTGTGTTACTTGTGGACTGGACACAATCGTCACTCCCATAAATAAAACAGGACCAAGACACCTTCCGTCGAACTACAGACCTGTAAGCCTCACCAGTGTTGTAGTTAAAATATTGGAAAGAATAGTTAAAAAGATCATAATGACATCTGTGCATACCAACAACTTGTTAAACAGTGAACAAAATGGTTCCAGAAAGAGTCTTTCTTGCGCAACAAACCTCCTTATAGCAGGGGAGCATTGGATAAAAGGGCTAGGCAGCGGAAACTTAGTATATGTTGTCAACATAGACTTCAGTAAGGCATTTGATTAGATGCCAACAAATAGACTACTATTGAGGTTGGAAAATCTAGGTATTGCCGGACTCCTCTTAAAATGGTTTACTGATTTCTTAGTACGTCGTAGACAGAAAGTAAGAATAAATTCTAAGTGCTCCATCTGGAGACCAGTACTTAGTGGAGTCTCTCAAGGTTCCGTCCCGAGTCCTTAACATTTTATACTGTATGCAAATGATCTCCCAAATATAGTACAGTCCCCAATGTTATTATACGCTGACGACGTAAAAATTTGGCGAGTAACAACTGGAGACGCAGATGTATGCGCACTTCAGACAGACTAAGATATTGTGATTGACTGTACTAAGGAGTAGCTAATGATTATCAACGCGGAAAACTGTGTCTATATGCACTTTGTGAATACAAAGATAAGTAGGTACAGCATAGGAGAAGTGCCTGTACCCGTGGTTCGGTCTCACAAGGATCTTGATGTGACAGTGAGCTGTGATCTTAAGGCAACGGCCTAATGCTGGGAGGTTGCAGCTGAGGGGCTTAAAACCATATTGGCTTTACGATGGACATTCACTAAGTTAGATAACATCATGCACACTATAGTATACAAAACCTTAGTGAGAACTGCTTTCAGGCTGCAAGCTCCTGTTTAAAAGGTGACTCGATTATCCTGGAACAAATAAGGAAGGCAGCTACCCACGCGATTTCAGAACATTTGGGTTTACTATGCAAAGTTTGAGAAGCCAGATCTGTTTACTCTGCTCTACCGCTGATTGAGAGGTGATCTGATTTTGATGTAGGAGATCCTAAGGAATGATCTTAGTGTTTAATATGTTGTTTTTTACCATTCCCACTAGATCTCTACATTTCAGAGGGTATAGTAGGTGAGTATAAAAAACCTAGAAGGAACAAAATATCCGTGGCATACAGGTGAAGATGACACAGGTATTCAGTGTTTGATAACGCTTTTACCAGCAACACCTTCTAATATAATTTGTACCCACCAAGAGAAACCAAAAGGCAGGGTCGAGGAGATCGGAAGAGTGTATTTGGCGATTACCAATATGTCGGAATTCTCTGATCTAATCTGGCCAGCGATTGCGGTAGATGTCGAGCACAGCGTTACCACACGTGATCTAGTGCGGATGCATGACCGAGCGCCTTCAGCTAGATGTGTCCACTAAAACATGTGGTCAGCATCCAATGTCGAAAACTTGAAGAGCTACTTATTTTGGGGATTTATTTACTGCTACAGATCACTCCCCTCCTAGTGGGGTAGTGATGACCCTAAGACGTGGCCAGCCAGAAGTTTAAATTCAACGAGTCTGTCGTTGGTAAACACTCTTCTGATAGCTTACTAGGTTTAGCAGCGTCTGGTACTACAAAAATAATTGTCAACCACAGAAGTAATATTACCTTATGTACTTTTTTCGAATAGGTCTCAAAATTGTCTTAACTTGTAAATCGTCGCGATAACACAATATCACTGAAAATTCTTTAAGCGAAAGCTTCTTCTATTCCGTCCACAACCATTTGAACCATTTGAATATATCATGCATCATCACGACGGCATCGTCTTCGTTACTTGAACGATGGACGTTATCAGAAATAGTGTGGCTGAAATGAATTCAAATCTAAATGTGTCCTGATTTGACCACTTCTGCAAAACTTCACGAATCGTCGTCGTGACGCACCAATCATCTTGCGACAGTTTGACCTTCAATTTACGAGGACACTCCAAAAAGTTCACAAGCCCAGAACAAATCGCTTGTCAGCTGACTATCGACTTTCTCATCGAATCATCAACGAGTGGAATTCATTACATCAGCACGTGGTTGAGGCTCCATCCGTCGACTCTTTCAAAAGAAAGTTGGATCAACTGAAAGACCACCATTGCCAGGACTAACACAGGCCATCAAGCCTCCTGTCCTTTCCAAACAGAAACTGAGACTGAAAGTCCACGCAACCTCCCTCTGTGTATGATACCCCTGAAGCGTTGCCGTCGTCGGTTAGTTAGTCTTGCCAATTAATTCATGTTCTTTTGTTAGTGTTCGGTTAATTTGTAGTCCGGGTGTGAATGTCAAGATGTTAGGTTCAGGGTTTAAGAGCAAGGAAACCTACAACTAACCTTAAGTTCCCTACTCATATGAAGTCAATATATACAATAACTTTACTGTCTGGGATTAGTCCTTTCATTCTCTGCCAGAGGTCATGTTGATGTACACTCGCTGTTTTCTGTATGGCTATAATCCGAGCTATGTCTGATGGTGGAAGAATTATGTCCCGATATAATCGTTGTTACAGAAACTTGGTTCACCCTAGATATAGACTGTTCTCCTTTCATTGCAGGCTATATCTGTATTAGAAGTGATAGAGTTTCAAGTCGCAAAGGGGGAGGTATAATATTATACGTTAGGGATCACTTTCGTATACAATCAACCATATCGGAGGCTCATACCAGTGGCACATGTGAGGTTGCATGTTGTAAGATTAAATCTAGAAATGGGTTAATGACTATAGGGGGAATATACCGTAGTCCGTTTTGTCTTCCTGACGACTTTATCCTAAGACACATCTGTTCTTGGAGTATGACAGAATGTTGTCTCATCATTGGGGACTCCAACGCACCGCATATCAACTGGATAGAGCTTACAGCTCCAGGTAGTGGTTTCGATAGCGACCTTTTATCTACCGTTATTCAGTGTGCGCTAGCACAATGTATCACAAAACCGACACATTGATTTCAATCATGATCCATCACTGCTGAACCTCGCCCTCACCCACCACTGTGAGGATGTCTTTGATATTCAGCACCATCCCCCACTTGTGAACAGTGATCACGTTGTAATTCACTTTAAGTTTAGGACACATGGTATACAGTTCGTATCTGCTCCACCCCGTCCCAATATCTGGCGAGCCAATATTCCGGCGATCAGAAACTGCTATCTCGACTGATTGGTCGGTCGACGCGGATGGATTGATCGAAGATGAATGGAATAAGTTTAAGGCTACATTCGAGTCCGTAACGTCGCCGTTTATCCCATGGTCAGCACGTAAGCCATCACATTGCCCTCTATGGATTAATAAGGAAACCCGGAAGCTGTTAAAGCGTAGGAAACATTTCTGGGACTTATTCTTGTTGACAGGTCATGCACCATTTAAGCGTGAGTACCAGAAATTCCTCAATATCTGTAAGAAAACCATAGCCAAATCCCGTACCACTTATGAACGACAGTTAGTATATGATAGCCGTACTTGTCCGAAGCGATTGTTTTCGTATGTTAAACGGCGAATGAGGCGTAGTGATGGTATTTTCCCGTTACTGTTACACGAAGATTCAGAATTACTAGCTGAATCAGATCGGGCAAAAGCTGAGACTTTTTCAAACTATTTTAGCGAAGTCTTCTCTACGTTTATTGTAACAAATACATGTTCCACTCACACCGAGATACCAACCATTGAATCTGTACAGGTGACTGAGGAAACTGTCCTTCCGTTGATAACTAACCTCAAACCTGGTAAGATACCGGGCCCTGACGGGTTACATCCACGGTTGCTGTCATCTCTTGCGGACATTATTTCAAAACCGCTCGCGACAATCTTCAACATGTCCCTTTCACTCGCTCAACTCCCTAGAGATTGAAAGGACGCTATAGTCAGTCCTATATTTAAGGACGGTCAGAGACAGATAGTATCTAACTACCGGCCTGTCAGTCTAACTAGCATAGTCGTTAAGTTACTTGAAAAGATAATTCGGGTTAGGTTGCTAAGCCACATAGATTTACACAATCTGTTAGCTCCTGAGCAACACGGATTTCGCAACAAGCGTTCCTGCTTGACTAACTTGCTTATTGCGAGGGAGGATTGAACAGCAGCCCTAGATAACGGTCTGTCTGTCGATGTGATATTCATAGATTTTAGCAAAGCATTTGACAAGGTTTCACACGTAGGTCTTATGCAGAAGCTCACGAGCTTCGGAATAATATGTACTGTACATGAGTGGATAGGAAATTTCTTATGTGACCGCAGACAGAGAGTGAGGGTCAATGGAACGCTATCCGATTGGAAGCCGGTCAAAAGTGGTGTACCCCAAGGCACCATCTTAGGCCCACTGCTCTTCCTTCTCTACGTTAATGAGTTACCGCTGCTACTTAGGTCGTCGACATTATTGTTTTCGGACGATGTAAAAATCTGGAGAACAATAAAAAGTGCGGCTGATCATGTGGATCTTCAAGCTGACTTAGACGATTTAGTTAGATGGGCTCGAGGTTGGGGCTTAGAAATCAATGCTAGGAAGAGTGTGCTAATGCACATCGGTCACGGTAATAGTTACCGTTACACTATTGAGGGTAAACCTCTTCCATGCGTTCAAGAGCATAAAGACTTAGGAGTAGTATTAAGTCATGATTTAAAAACAACTGCGCATTGCAAAGCAGCCGCTGTCAAAGGTTTTCGTGCGTTATGGTCACTTCGCCGAGCGTTCAAATCTTTTGACGAGGAAACGTTTAGAATTTTATATCCCATATATGTAAGACCACATTTAGAGTACTGTATCCAAGCAGCTAGCCCGTGTCTGGTAAAGGATACTAACTCCCTTGAGCGTGTCCAGCGTGTGGGAACGAAATTAGTGAGGGGTCTTCCTAGACTCCCTTACGATGAGCGTTTAAAACGCCTAAATCTTTTCCCCTTGTCGTATCGTAGGACACGAAGTGACCTTATACTGGCATTTCGTATCTTTAATTATGATTTGGGTGTTAATATGTCTTATCTTTTTGCTCCCTCCAGCACTAATAACCTCCGAGGTCATAGCAAGAAGGTTCATAAACCGCGATCTCATAAACTTAAAGTGGGGTCCCGTTTTTCTCATCGAGTAGTCAATCATTGGAACGCCTTACCCGAACAAGTGGTATCAGCCCCATCAGTGAATACTTTCAAGGAGAAGCTGGACCTTCACTGGAAAGCAATGTGTCAGGATTAATACAGGTTCACCAACCTACTATCCTTATTACTGAAGACTGAATCAGTGGAGTCCGCATGTTCGCTCTATGGTATTGCCAAGCTTAACCCAAACGTACACGACACTGGTATTATACAGTGATACCATTTGATGTGACCAATCGGACAAGTTACCTCAGTATTCCTATTTCATGTATATAGCTTGCATAAATAGACCATTCAGATCCAAGTTTATACTTTAAAATGAGTATATAAGAGACCTTGGCTCTAAGTTTTTTATTACACTTCTGTGTGTATCTAGTCCCCTAAATAAGTGGATTGGACACTCAGATATCACTTCTGACAGTTGGTTCTCAACTTTAATTGGTCAGTGGCATAACCTGCTTGTAACAGGAAGTTTATTATTTCTCAATGTACCACTTCGTGTTCTTTAGGTTTTCTTGACCTAAATGGGGTAAAAGGGGATAAATTAAGTCCAAATTTATTTCTCAGTATCTCATGCACCATAATTGGTTTTCCTTTCAATTTACGTTAAGTTAGTATTAAAGAGTCAAACATTTTATGATGGTCGTCGCAAAGAAATCTAGACGCCCGGAATTGCTCGAACAGCGTACTTTTTCCACGAGATGAGTGACCTTTTACGAAGACTTGTAGCTTGTACATATTTCTACTTCACCAAGGTTGTGCAGACCTTGGCCAATATATTTTTACCTAACTTGGTGCAGGTCTGTCTTAAGTCAAACAGCACTAAACCCTTCAATTACAACTGAATAACAGTAAGCTCTGATCTTTAGATCATGGTCTCTTAGATCATTTTAAGATGCAAATATGAGTAGGGGCACTTCTCCAACATGTTTGTCAGCTCTACATGTATGATAACAGTTATCTCCACTAATAGTCATTAACCACAACCTAGACCACCAGCCCAGCATGACGTTAAGGTCGCCCTGGAGTGTACATACATTTCCACTACGTGCCACTTCTGGGCACACTTTGATTCTATCAGCTTGAAGAAGCGTAGGAGATTTGATGACACTTGAAACTTGGTTGATACAAAGAATAAATAAAGATGGACTTAGTTTTTCTCCTCGGGATAACCCACTGTGTACTGGTTTCCAGGAGACCCTTATGTTAATTCTTTCTCTCTATCACCAACAAACCAAAATGTTCCCAATTTACCCGAGGTATTCAAAGATTTCTAATCTTTTCAGTTCCAGCTTAAGCCTTCCGAGGTTAAGGGACCAAGTAACGTATATTAGTCTAACACTACCAAATTTAGGGAGAAATTAACTAACTCGAAGAAAAACGAGTGGGGGTGTCCAGGGAGTTTTTCCTCAAATACCGAGTCCTTCCCCAGTAAATACACTTTTGGTGAAACCCAATACTCCACAACTTTCCCTCTAAAGACACTGCTTTTCCATTGTTTCCCTCTGAACTTTTCAGCTCTTCCTCGAAGTAACCTCATAAAAACGCCTTCCATACTTATTCAATTGTGATACAATCGAAAACTTCATAAATTTGAACGGGACTTCTCTCTAAGAAGAATAAATTAATGGCAACAACATTACATTAATATAATCAAATTAGTCTTAATTTCTAAATACTCTATATACGACATTGTAAGTATATCCTTAGGTTACCGTCCTAACCAAAGGCTGACAAGATATTTTGTAATTTAGATTTAGTCACACTGAAAGATGTGCACAACATTTGATAAAAGTTTCAACCCAGTATTTAGTAGTGATTGGGTAAGAACATCAGATGAGTTGTCGATTGGAATTCATGGTAGCGTTCATTACATTCTAAAAAATTCAAACAGGATATTAGAATTTATATAAGTAATGTCAATTAATAGATTATCAGTATGATGTTTCATAGTTTACTGGGCTGATATCAATTCACAGAAATATTGCAATTTGAAAATTTATTTATTTATTTGAACACAAATGTTGGTACAAGAAGGCACCAAATATATATGCGCCACACGAAACAATTAGAATTTGAAGAGGAGAAGGAAAAAAGGTAAGGAGCGTAAAAGAAAAAAAGAAAATCAGCGAACAAATTAGTGTAAGGTAGTGCAATGATAATAATAATAATAATAATAATAATAATGGGGGAAACAGAAACGTACAATCAGAAGAGATCTTTCAGTTAAGGAAGAAGCAACCGTTTTTTACGAAGAAAGTAAAAGAAGGTTACAGCAAAATCGCCACTGGCTTCTATTCTGAGCCATATCTGATAACGTCTCTAGCCACTGTGTCGCACCACCTCTCGGACCAACAGAAGCCAGCCCTTTGTAGATTTCTTTCATACCCCGACACCAGGTCAAATAGGTCCTGCCTCTTAATTCCACCTCGTCGGATGGCTGCTAAAAGTTCAGCCTTTATAATGAAACAAGAAATTTATTCAAGCTGTACCTTTACTTACAAAATACATTTCGAAAGAGTCTTTATAAAGTGATTAAAGCCATTTAAATCACTAAAGGTCTATAAGTCATTCTAGAGCGAAAAATAAATAACTGATTATTTGTATATCGACCTATTTTAAACAGACGGCTTAATGATTTTTACGCCTGAGTTTTGGTCATTTGACTACATTTACGAAATCCAGTTCTCTTGTTGACGTCTTGGCATTTCGATAAAATCATTAGTCTTAACGTAAAGTGGGTGGACCGAAACCCAGCACGTGAACATGTGCCTGGTAAACGAGTTACATTTGTCTCAAAGCACTTTGTATAGTACTGCTCACAACCAGTGGATTCTGGTTAAAAGAAGTCAAAGTTGTACTACAGTAAAATATATCAGGGTTAACGCGTTTGGCACTTAGGGGAAAATTAGCATGTTGACTATAACTGACGATCATAGTTGACGTTTTTCTCGCCATAGTATTACGATACTTAGAGTGTTTGAGTGCAGAAAAGACATCACAACTTCATAATACAATATATTTACTAAGAATATCAGTTCGATAAACTTGCTAGATATCTTCATCTACTTAGCAACACTAAAATGTCCCGATGCTACTAGATATAAATAGCTATGTGGAAGTCTGCTTACATTATATATTAATTGAAACGGTTTGTTTCATTTTCACTCACCTTTACATTTGAACTTAGTTATAAAAAGTTACTTGAAGTGTAAAACAAAACGGGATGTCCACACAAATATTTCGTTATTTGGATAAACCTGTTCCTTTTGCACGTGATGGTTAGATTTATATAATAAGCTATTTTTCAAGCTAGATTTTCTCGATTTGGATTTATAGTACTAAATCTATGTTCCCTCGGTTATCTTAAAAAAACACGCACTTATTTCCATAGATAGACTGTCGAAGTGACCCTCATACTGATAATAATAACTTCTTGTAGACATGGGAATCGAGTGAAACTTTTCATAATCGTAGCCGGATTAACCAGAATTTCAATGGGAGCCCTTTTAAAAGTCTACCAGTCAACGTGATTACACACTTCCTCATGTTACTCTTACATTTGATACATTTAGGTAATAATCATGTCAACAATATGGAGATGAAATGAACACAGCAAAATGTGTTCTGTTTCTTGCAGTTTTAGAGGGTGCTAAGTATGATATAGAAATGCTATTGCACTCTATGTTTTGTTTTTTAGGTCTGAGGATACTGAATATATGAACAATTAGTTTCATAAGATGCACATTTCATCAAAGAATAAGACAATTCGAATTTCCGTTTCAAAGTTGTTAGCGTGTAGTATATACGCATACTTATCTTTCGAGTGTAGTATCTTATCGTTCTAAATGTAAAACCAAGTAGAATTGACTGTGAATTCTTACTACTTTGAGTAGATAAACCAGAAAATAAATCAAATAGTAACTTGACCTTATTAAATGTTTTGTTAACGAAAGATACCGTCGGCTACTTAGTTTATAATATAGTAGTGATCTATTAAATTAATGAAACAAATAAATTTGGGTCCAAATATTTAATTCAAAGTAAAATGAGAAATAAAGGTTATTACAGTAATAAACGTCATCTCAACTAACGGTTAACAAAAATAGCTCTCCCTGCTGATCACATATTTCACTTATTGTTGGTGGTGTTTTTTAAGACTGGTTTATGCATTATTTGTTAGAAGAAATCGCCGTACTACGTAATTACTGTGTTTTAATTCTTTATTACAGTATCTAAATGTTAATTTTCTTCCCACATGTTTTCAGGGTCTTTCACGATTTATATTGGTTACAATGATATCTTGTTAGTTCAGTTATTCTGCTCATCTGTTCCGTCAAAATACGTGTTATTGTCTCTGTGGACGGATTCTATAATGTATAGAAAGGCTGGGATTGCATCAATTAAAAGCAAATCGCTTGCTCAGTCGAAGTACAAAGAAAAAAGTGATGAGTTAGCAGGAAATCAGATAACAACACTATCACGACAGTTTGAACAAGTTCGTCAGTCGCTTGAATTATTTGCGTGCAAACACGGGAACAAGATTAAAGAGGATCCACAGTTACGTTCACAATTTCAAGCAATGTGTAGTAGTATTGGTGTTGACCCTATAGCATACAGTCGTGGGTGTTGGTCAGAAGCATTAGGTTTGGGGGAATTTTACTACCATCTAGGTGTGAAAATTATTGAGGTGAGTTAATAAATCACTAAAGTTTTCACCTAATTACCGACCTTACAATTAATAATAACCAAATATTTTTTACTACCTGATATCCAATTTCGTTTTATTTCTGATATGACAATATCGAGATTACATTTTCTTAATAAAATAGTGTCTTCATTATTACCATAGTTCAAAGGAAAATCGAGCCTTTAAGATCTCACCAAGGACTGATGAATTTGTTCCAATAAATTGGATGTAGTTATCCATAAAATGGTTTCTCCGTCTTCTAGTACTATAGGTTAATGCCACTATTCATATGAGCCACCGGTTCGCCTGAGCTCCAAGCATTTAGCAATTCATCATCATTCTTATGGTTTCTCAGATTCAAAATTTTATCGTTTTCGATGTCTCACGTACATCCACAATAGATCTTCACGTCCATAGATGTGAATGATGCATTATATAGTTAACAGTTTGTACTTGTTGCTACAAAGATGAAGAGTTTATTTTCTATTTTTTATTTGAACACAAACATTGGTACAAAGGGGCACCAAAATATATGTATGCCCCACACAATAAAGACCGGCTTATGAAAAAACAATGAAAGAAAAGCAAGTATAATAAAAAAGAACAATGGATAGAAATTAGTTTATGAGAGTGAAATAATAATATTAATAATAATGGACGAAGCAGTTCAGTTCAGAAAAATACGAGCTAAAAGGATTCTTTCAGTTAAAGAAGTTCATTTCACTTATATGAAGAAAGTGAAGAAGGTTACAGCAGAACCACACTGGTTTCTGTCCTGAGCCATTGCCAATAACGTATCAAGCCACTGTATTGCACCATCTCTGTGACCTCAACCAAGGAGGTCGAACACACTTTATGTAGAAGAACACTTAACCGGTGGTAGAACTCATCCTTCATCGCATCGGGGGCTGCAATCTGTTTAGGATTGAACGATGACGAAAAAACATCGTTCCTCACACCGATTTCTCACTTTGATGGGATCTTTCAATCTGACTGCACATAATCAACTGGTCATGGGGATTCAATTAATTAGTGCTGCCTCGGCTCTAGCGCAACAGGGTCCACGAATAAACGCACGTGAAACAAGTTTTTTGAAGCGACAGATAGAGAGCGAATTTGTAGTACTTTACTAAGGTCCTGAATATGGGTCTCGGGTAGACAACAGACATCGATGCTGAAAATTTCTAAAGACAGCCAACTCTATTTGTTGTCCGATCTGCTTTAGTATGCGAAAGGTGAATGAGGCTAGTTTGAATGACATACGTGGTTTCAGAAAGACTGGTTGAGAATTCGTGTTTAGTGGTATCATTCAACTTTCAACCAATCATTGACTTAAGATCATTTAGATAGGATAGGATCGCCACCATTTACTATCTGCTGTATGAGTTGAAGAATAGAGATGTACAAAATTGGAATAAAATATATGAACAAGCGACGTAATGCGAAATAAAAATGAGTAATAATAGTTTTGAGTGTGACTTGCGAGAACGAGAATTATAACGTGAACAGCTTTTCTACCTGTGGTTATCATTTAGTTTGTTTGCAGGCTGTGATACTGCCTGGGTGCCAAAACTGAAGCAGGTGGTTTTCTTAGAGAGCCACTTTCCGGCCATTTTACTTATAGGTCTAATCCACAAAGCACTGGAGCAACGTTAAGTAATACACTAGATTCATATGCGATGTGTTCCCTCAGGATCCTGGAGCCCGTATGCACCGTTAGTTCGGAATCAGGGTTCTGCAATTTATGTTGTAGGCTGTGTTGTGCCGTCCTGTATTATTCTGTATGTACGGGGAAGTCTTCGAAAAATATTTATTAGTTTATGACTCGGTTGGGCACTCGGGCAGTATTTCAGACCTCACACAAATCGAGTGATTTGTGTGGCGCATACGTATTTGGTGCCTCCTTGTATCAATGTGTACGTGTTCAAATAAATAATTTGGTTGTGTAATTTTAATATTTTTTTCGTCAATATGTGTAGCTATTCATCACGGTGCAGACTATCATGTAGTCTTCATTATACTTTACTTTGTACAAAATCTTTTACATGTTGTTTTATGTTTATATTGTTCTTAAGCTCAATTTCCTTTACAATTTTATCCACAGGTATGCATGGCTAACCAAAAACACACTGGAGGCATTATACCTCTGCATGAATTGGTATCTCTATTAAACAAAAACAGAACACGATATGAGTCTGAAGTTAGTGCTGATGACGTAAAAAGGTCTATCAGAAAACTGCGTTGTCTAGGAACAGGGTTCAGTCTCATTAGTCTATCTGGTGGTCGGTTATTGGTCCAGTCGGTTCCAGGTGAAATGAATATGGATCAAACTTTGGTGTTGGGGCTCGCAGAAAGTTCTGATAGTCATGTAACAGCATCAGCCGTAATAGATAAGTTAGTGTGTGATTTGTGAATAGAAATATTTTATTTCAGCTTCCATTTTCAGTAATTTATGTCTGTACTTTTTATTTGGATACAAACGACCTATTCAATCCGGGAAAATTGTTCAGTTAGGTTCAACTAAAAAATGAATTTTGAAATATTTTTAGTGACAGACCTAACGATTGATACATAAGTTTATATAGTTGATCATAATTCTGGATCTACTTTGGGCTTCATTGTTCACTAGGGATTTTGTTTACTTTTAGTCATAAGCTGTACTTTATTTCAGTAGTTTGCAGAAATTTGTCCAATTGTCTTTCAGTCACTTTAATCAAGAACTGATATCAACTAGAAAACCATTGAAATCCGGAAATACTAATTGCGATATCAAACTCCATAAATTTCAGGTCTCAGGACGGGCACAAGATACCTTTAAACAATTAAATGGGAATTCAATAGTACATATTTTTAAATTGAGTTTATTTAAGATATAACGGAATCATTGTCCAATAGGTAAAGATTTTTCAGGAAATTATTTCTGATTGGACACACAAAATGAATTCCCACTGAGGCTAGGAAATTATTTTCAAGATAAGTCAATTTTTACGTCACTAGTTTCAAATTAGTTATACCAAACATCCACATAATAATTAGCAAGTTATATAAGTCAGCAAATCGACGTACAGACAGTCATCAAAATAGTCAACTAGCTGCAGACTGAAAACATTGCGATCCAACCTGACAAATCTCTGACAAAAAATCAGTGTCACCTTTTTACAACCATGATATGTTATGCGTCGAATTACAGGGTACCCACATTTCAAATTTTGGAAGATTTGTCCACTTTTTATTTCTATCTACCTGTTTTTAACTTGTTTCGTCGTTTCAGCGTATCTAGTTACTAATTTTTCGTTCCGGTAATTTCTATTAATGGTTTATCACGTCCATTTTGATGTGTTTTATTCATTTGATAACACTCGTTCCTCTCATTACATTATATTTATATAATATCACGGGAAAACCTCTTAGTATCTTCAAAAGAAATATCTATGAAGTTAAACATCAGCATGTAACGTAAACAATTAGCTTACTTTGAATGGGAATAAAACTTTTGAAGCGATCATGCTACCTGTTCACTTTTCACCCGGTAGATCAGTTATGTTATCACTTCGTAAACCTAATAAGTGTCTTTAATTAAATGATATAAAAACAATGTATACGTGGCTACAAAGCAATTGGTATTGTTTTACTAAAATGCATTTGAAATGAATTTTCAATAAATTACAACTGTAATTTATGTTCAAAGATGGATAATGGCCAGCAGTGGAATCCAAGGCGCGCGTTTCATCCTATTTGGGACTCGTCAGCTGGATGTACCTGCATCTTAGAGTTGATGTTCGAGTCCTGGAGTGAAGATCAACTCTGAGATGCAGGTACATCAGACCGACGAGTCTCAAATAGGACAAAACGCGCGTCCTGGATTCCGCTGCTAGCCACTACCCATCTTTGTTTATAAAGCTCGTGACTTAAGGCAACTTAAGGCAATCCACACAGGATGTACATATGCCAATAAGAGACTGATCAGTTGCAGTCCTAAACAACAATGGGAAGATAGGAGCAAACAACACCAGGTGAATGTAATTTATATTGTTTCGAATTTTTTCTCTCTTGAATTCATGTCTAAATAAAATTGACCATCAGTCTGCTTTTCAGCAAGTAAAATATTGTTTATCCTGTTACCCTCTTTAAAATATAGTCCATCTTGTGTAAGTAATTAGATTTATCCTTCTTATTTTATAGCGTATTTTTTATTGTTGTATTTTTAAGTAATATTTGTTTGTTTCCTTCATAATAATATATCATCATCTATTTTAATGATCATAGGCCGATTGTAAAACCAACTTACTGCTTTAAGCTAGTTATGATCAGTGTTCATCTTGAACTACTATGCTTTCACAACTATAAGTAACAGTGAATTATCAATTTGATTATAGGGATTTTGCGGGGATCACTTTAATTTATAGGTTATGTTCGTTACAGTTTAATCTCAAGGAGGACTGGACAGCTGTTTAATCCTGTAATGGGACTCCTCAACAGGAAGTATTCACATCCCAAGTCCCATAAAGAACCCGTAATTATTAGAAACACCGGGTTGGCGCCCAGTAATAGAATCCAATCTTCAATCAATTTTTGACTTCGATCGATAATCTTATTGTTATTATTCAGTTGGCGGAGGAAGATATTTATTTTTTGTTTTTGCTAGTTTCCTTTTTGAAAAAGAAGTCAACTTAATATATATTCGACTAAGATAACTTGAGTTTTTAAGTAATTTATTACCATTTTTGGCGTTAAATCATTTTTTATGTGTCGGCATTTAATTAGTATGATGCAAAAACTGCGAATTACCATACATTTTAACGATACCGTTAATTATTGTTCACAACGCTGAGTAAATAACCGTTTTAATACATGTGTAATGTGACCTCTCTAATTTTTTTATCTTCATTCAGATTTGATTGGACTAAAGATCGTACAGACGCTGCCTTTCGCCATTTAATGCAAGAAGGTATTGCATGGGTTGATGATTTAGATCCTTGTGGTGAAAGAGTATTTTGGTTTCCTAGCTTAATGGGCTCAATAATTACATCATAAATGTATACTTAGTGATGTTATACTGCTTTCATTCCCTGTTTATTTATTTTATGAAAACCAAGGGACTTTCACCAGCCATTATTTTCTACATTATGAACTAAAAAAATCTAATCGTTCATTGTTGATCACTACCATAAAAAGTTTACATCTTTAAACCAACAAACAATAATTTAAAATGACATACCAATTGACACTGTAGTGGCTCAAAGAATTAAGGCCATGCTCAAGAGCATGTTTGATTTTGTCTGCTTTTTAGCGTCGTTGCGATAATCGTTTTTTCATCCCTGTGAAATTTCGTTAATGTGACGCGTTAAGTGTTTCTCACCGTTCTAATGTTAGTGTGTACTTTCTAGCTTGTTATCATTTTCTCTATTATAAAACAACAATCCATTTTATTTGAAGTTTTTTGTTTATATTAAAAATTAGTGTAAATTTGTATTTGCAGTCAATTTTGATGTTGGCTGAAATTTCCTAACTGTCCGCATATTCGCTCCTAAGTGTCCTTCTGGAGCGTGTTGTTTGAGAGTTTCAGTCAGTCAGTCAGCTACAACATAGGACCAGGCACATATATGCATCGGTCCAAGTTGCCATACCTCATTAACACAACAAGATGGACACCAGATTCATAAAAGTAGTTAATTCAGAGGTGGTAATATATAAAAGAAAGATTGCATATAAGGATATAGTACAGGAAGAAAGAATTAGTTCGTAGAAAGAAAGATATGAAGCGATTTTAATCTCTTAGTTTAAGGGAAGATAGGGAGTGTATACACCTACGCCATAGTGATCGATTCTGAGCCATGTCACCAAGAGTCTTCAACCATTGGTTACAACAGTCACGCGGACCCCAACCAAGTAGTTTGCATCTACCAACATGGCCGTGGTTAGATAGTAAAAAGGTAATTAGGTGTTATGTTGAGAACCTCATAGACCAACGTTTACTGGCCGTAAAGCAAGGTTTTTAATGAGTTACGATCTCAAAAATTATACTAATACCTTACCTAAGATAGTGTTACCGATGGTTGAATGATGAACAGCTGTGTGTCGTAGTACCAACGATCACCATCTTCAGTGATCTCTAACAGATTATTAATATCTTGACATGACTTTAACTATGATTAATTACGAAAAGTTAAAAATTCCAACCAACAGCAAAATTGATCGCAAATACACATTTACACAGATTTTTGATATATACAAAAGACTTCAAATAAAGTGAATTGGTGTTTTATAATAGAGAAAATGTTAACAAGCTAGAAATTACACACTAACATTAGAACGGTTCCAAAATGTGATGATAAACATTTAATGAGTTACGTAAAATAACAAAATTTCATCATAATGAAACAGAATATCGAAGTGACTCTAAGAAGCGAACAAGGGAACCCAAGGAACTGAACATGTTCACCAGCATTGCTTGCAGAGGTGGCTGAAACTATGAACTCTCTACCACTGCATGTTTCCGACTTGTCGTCAGTACGATTTTAGAAATTAAGCATTTCAGTTGTGTCAACATTTGAGTTTAAGTCAATAAATGTTCTAAAACTTGTAATGTTGAATAAACCCATTCTACTTATTTATATCATACATTGTTCTTTTATACGAAGATACTGACGGGTTTGTAATTTTCATTCGTCTAATGAAGCAATCATTAATCTCTTTCTCGTTGTGCAGTAAGGCGCTTATTTGCCGAAAGCTGGTTCATGCGTATATCAGTTTACCATAGACTGCTGCGTACTTAAACACTTGTTACTCCTACCTTTACAAAACGTTCTTTACTACTTTTACGGCTGCGAAACGTGGCAATTAAGAGCAGAAAATACTCGTAAGCTACTAGTATTTGACCACAGATGTCTTAGAAATATTGCTCGCATCTGCTAGGACCACCGGGTAAGTAATAGTGAAGTTAGACGCATAGCATTAAGGAACGATGGTGAATCAATTGGTGATGTTGTAAATCTTCATCGACTGAGATGGTCGGGCCACGTGTTACGTATGCCTGAACACTGACCGGTGTTAGGGATGGTTGGAAGAAAGTTAGGGGCGGCCAAAACAAAATATGACATTAGTCTTCGAAGTCACTAACTTCTGTTTTGAGCCATGTTGGAAGATGCAGACTACTTGGTTGTGGTCCGTGCGACTATCGTAACCAATGGTTGGAGACTGTGTGACAGCTAAAAATCTATCACTGGAGTGAGTGTATACCATGAGATTAAAATTACTTTTGTTATAACTTTCGGTTTTCGTCTACACAAATGGATGTTAATTTACCTTAGACGAATATCTACACTAGATTCCCTCCCAGTGTCCATTTTACAGGACTTCAACAAAACTCAGACCAAGAACATGTGATTAGCCTGACTAGAACGTCAGTATATTTCCACATCAAAGGCTGACAACAACAATAATAAGGGTGAAGAATATATAACTCATCAAATACCTTTCAGACTGTCTACAAGTCTGACTAAGCAAATAACTAATCATTCCCACACACCAACTTTATGCCGTTCTTTCTACGAACTAATTCTTTCACCCTGTATTTCCTTATACACAGTCTTTTATATACTACCATTGAAGTAACTACTTCTATAAATTTGATGTTCATCCTGTGCTAATGAGGTGTGACAACTTGGACCGATGCATATATGTACCTGGTCCTACGTTATAGCTAACTGACTGACCTTTGCAAAAAATTAATGGATACTAGGAGGAATATTTATTTATAGAAAGTGAGGCTTATTTTGGATCGCATTAATCTAAACGTACAGTCCATCAATTCGCACGGAAAAATCAAGGGTATCCAGGATGTTTGCCTAAATTATGGAGTCCGTTACACTACAGAACCCTGCACTTTGTCGTTTATGATCTGTCAACTTAAGCGCCTTATGTGTAGTTAGAAAAGACACTATAGAAACGTCTACAGATTATCGGAAAATAAAAGTAAAACAGTCACTACTAAATTTATAAGCTTTATTACTTTCGCCAAGTGAACTACAGGTACGCCTTTAACTATACTTCATTTAATCCACTTGATATTGTTTTACTTGGATTTTCCCATTGATGTTTTAGGACTGAAATTGATCAGTCTCTTATTTCAGTCCTAAAACATCAATGGGAAGATTCAAGTAAAACAATATCAAGTGGATTAAACTTCACCCCATCGCACAACCAAGTGGCTATCAGAACTCAGTAGCTAAGTGGATAACGCGATGGCGTTCGAAGCGAACGGTACTGAGTTCGAGTCCCAGAGTGAACATCAACTCTGAGATGCAAGTACATCCAGCTGACGAGTCCCAAACAGGACAAAACGCGCGTCCTGGATTTCACTGCTAGCCACTATCCATCTTTGCTTATAATTCATTTAGGTTGATATGTTCTATGAGAAAACTAACAGCATATAATGAATGCTAGGATCTCAATAAATAAACCCCATGTCATTAGAAACTAACAATGCAAAACATATTTGGAGGGCTGAAGTGTTCATGAGGACTTCGGTCGTTTTGGTAGGTATAAATGGATGGTTCATAAAAAAACTATCAACAAAATATAGTCTCAAGACTTCATCAAACCATACAAAATTACTAAAGGTCCTGGAATAAAAGCGTCACTCTCCACTAAATGTTCGAGCACTGTCATACTTCCTAAAAACCAACAAATGTTGGGTTTGTTGATATCAAGGTTGCTCTTGGTTTTTTTTATTGTTGAAGAGGCTTTTTTGACCTCTTAAAGGGTTTGCATATAGAGGACATACAGTCACGGTCGCCTGACCTCACCACTTCTCAACTTTGCCATCGACTGCATTCTGAAAACAGCTCTGAGGGAAGTACATGACAGTGGTGTAGAAACGTAACTTGGAAACTTTCGAACCTCCAGTAGGCGAATGACCTTTTTATGCGGTTATACGCAACGTATCCAAATCACATTTAATAAGCTGTAAGTTAGTGTACGGCATGTACTTTTTAAATGCAAATCACTTTAACAAAACTGGCAGGAACCGTGAGTGCTGGTTTGAGCATGATGGACGAAATCACTGTACATGCGAAAGGGGATTTCGCGCAGCTGTGCAAAGTTACCAATTATTTCCATGTTTTTCTACAAGCTAAAATTACGCAAAGATTCTAATATTGTCTAACAAATTTCTCGCAATTCCTTACGATTCTCATGATTTACAGATCCGCTTCAAACATCTATATCTAGTTCATTAACTGATGTGCATCAAAACTTTCTCATCATACTACTCTTCGTAAATTTAGGCCGTTTGTAACTGAGGAGAAGCTTCGAAAGAGAATAAATTGATTCTACGCAAGAAATCTTGTTATTTATTTTAGTTTTATTCTTTTGGTTTCATTTCAGAATATTATCTATTTATTTTTGGTACCCAACTGTACCGTAATTTATGCATATTACACAAATGAAATGGTATTTGATGAGAGTTCCAGTTTGAACTCAAGTCGTTGGATAATTTCACTGCTAAACAGCGTGCCAGACTTTAGGAATATCATGAATTTGCCACACTCACACACAGTAAATATACCAGATACTCAACAGTTTAACCTTGAAAATTGTTGTCTTTGAACATAAACACACTTATGCCTCTTATCCCTCGCGAAGCAGAATAGGCCACTCACCAGCATTCTCCATCCAACCCGGTCCTGGGCAATCCTTTCCAGCTCTCCAGTTGTTGTTAATCCTTTTCATATCTGATTCCATTACCCAGCGTAATGTGTTCTTTGGCCTTCCTCTTCCCTGCTTCCCTTCAGGATTCCAAGTTAGGGCTTGCCTAGTGATACAGTTTGACACCCGAACTAATGATAGGGAGTGAAGTAGTGGAGCATGTCGATCGCTTCATTTATCTGGGAAGTCTTATCAGCCCTTGTGGTCTGGCGTGTGACGAAATCTCAGCGCGGATACAGAAGGCTCGACTAACGTTTGACAACTTGCGTCATTTATGGCGTAGGCGAGATATCCGTCTATCAACCAAAGGACGGGATTACTGCGCAGCAGTTCGTTCCGTCCTACTTTATGGCAGTGAAACATGGCCGGTAAGAGTAGGGGATAGTCGTAGGTTACTAGTATTTGACCATAGGTGTCTTCGAAAAATTGCTCGTATATCCTGGGACAATCGAGTAAGTAATGCAGTTGTTAGGAAACGGGTACTAGGTAAGGATGGCAAATCAATTAATGAAGTAGTGAAATCTCATCAGTTGAGATGGCTGGGACACGTGTTACGTATGCCCAACCACCGACTGCGCCGAAGTGCTATGCTTTGTGGTGTATGAGTAGGTTGGAAGGCTAGGGGAGGCCAGACCAAAACATGGCACAAGTCCATGAAATCACTAACAAGTGGACTGAGCCATGTTGGTAAGTGTAGACTATTTGGTGGGGACCGCGAGGTGATAGCAACCGATGGTTAGAGACCCTGAATGACATGGCCCAAAATCGTTTGCAATGGCGCAGGTGCATACACTCTTTGTGTTCTCCTGAATCCTCCTTGTCTCTTTTTTTCTCTTTCCAAATTTATTTCACTGGATTATATTCTTTAAGTAACATCTCCAAACCCTAATCTTTCCGATTACTGCTTATACTCTTATTACCTCTACCACTACGGGATTTGAATCGACCACTGGATTTCTGTGCTAATGTGGTGTGGTAACTCGAATTGATGTACGTACGTACGAAGTTCTACTTTGTTACTGACTGACTGAGTGGTACAGCTTGATGATTTCCATAATGTATGTCATATCCACTTCTAGCGTCTTTTCATAATTTCCTTTTCAGCTGAAGCTGGTTTGTTCTCTCCCACAGTAGGCTGCTGCTGATGTTTTCCGGTCAACAAACATTGAGTATCTTACATAGACAATTGTTTATAAATACCTGCACCGTTTTGATGATGGTTGTAGTAGTTTTCCAAGTTTCAGCTCCGTACAGTAGGACAGTCTTGACGTTCGTATTGTAGATTCTGACTTTGATATTGGTTAACAGTTGTTTAGAGTTCCACATGTTCCTCAATTGTTGAAATGCTGGCTTTGCTTTGCCAACCCGTGCCTTCACGCCTGCATCGGATCCTCCTTGTTCATTGATGATGCTGTCCAGGTACGTGAAAGTTTCCACCTCTCCCAGAGTTTCTCCATCAAGTGTGATTGGGTTGATGCTTTCCGTGTTGTATTTCAGGATCTTGCTTTTTCCTTTGTGTATACTGAGGCCTACTGATGCAGGGGCTGCTGCTACACTCGTTGTCTTCATTTGTTCGTAAACATCAACACAGCATTGCTTCAATTTATTTTTTATTGTTTAATTGAATCTTTCCATCGATGTTTAGGACTGCAATTGATCAGCCAATTATTGGCACATGAGTATCCTGTACGAATACAAAATTGAATTGAAAACTCAACCCATTTCACAAGTTAGTGGCTATCAGAGCTGAGCAGTAAAGTGGATAACACGATGGCGCTTGAAGGGAACGGTGTTGAGTTCGAGTCCTAGAACGATCATCAACTCTGAAATGCAGGTACATCCAACTGACGGGTCCGAAGTAGGAAGGAACGCGCGTCCTGGATCCCACTGCTAGCCACCATCCACCTTTGCTTACAACATTGTTCGTTATATATTAATTCCTCATTCAACTTGTGAATAAATATTATCATAAGTAGCTCATATTTCCTTACTATGCTTACTGGACAATTGTTTGTTTGCGGCTACCTACTTTCACCTCTGAAATTTATCTTCGAATCATTGCCTGAATTTCATACGAAACCTGTAGCTAATTTTCAGAATGACCGTCAAATCTTTTCGTGAGCAAAATTCAACAGCTAACATGTTGACCAATAAATTTACTGCTTTGTAGTTGCAAAAACAAGTAATGTATAAGTGAAGCCCTGAAAAATGACAAATCGTCAAAGATAAACAGTATATAATTACGAAAATATTATAAGATACCCACAATAAATTAGTATTTATAAATACACAGAAATTAGTCTTTAATACTAGCTAAGCAATCAACAATAATGTATTTTTGCCATTTCTGAAATATGATCTATACATAAATATGTTGAAGTATGAAAGACATTATTACATGAGTTTCAATAAAAATTACACTTGAAGACAAGGTAGTTTATTTTTAAATAGCTGAAAATAAACAACTAATATGAAGCCTAAAATTGCACCGAGTGCTGCTCCGAATTGTGTAGATAACCCAGCTAATCTGAGTCGCGTTGGTCTATGGGAATGGCTAGACAAACTCATCCATATCCATGTGCGCAAACTGGCAAATAAACAGCGTATCGCAATCCAAGCTAGGATCTATAGGATTTAGAAGACAATAAATAATCTAGTGTAAAAATCACTTATGTATTACAGTATTTTGCACGTTTGATCAAATTATGGGAACAATCCTTAGTTATTTGATAGCTTAGTGTTCACGACCAAGTAATGTCCCGTATCACCAAGCATCCCTAACTACATTGATATTGGAACAGATACTCTAACCAGTAATATTACAGAGAGTCAGGCAGTTAAGCATTGATCAAAGTGGCCCCACTTTAAACAGTATAGATAAGTTAAGCAAACGGGTTAAGATGATAATAGCGGTAGCAATAATAAACTAGAAAAAAAACAAATTAATAATATATATGCTCAGAATTTACGAGTAGATCAGTTATTAACATAATCGCACTGATACTAACAAGTTCTTAATAATTTTAACCCTAGTCTCAAAAGTAGATTTCCGGGATCTCAAGAATTCTAATAACAAAACCAACAGTTCTTTACACAGTTCCTGTAGATTAATATAACGTTTTCATCCGAACACCCTGAGGTTCAATTCTTTCTATTTGAACTAGTATACCAAGGTGACTTGACATACATTTAATTACCTCAATTAATGCATATGCAAACTTCCATTAATCGCACTGTCACCATCATCACATAATCAAGCTTTCTTTTATCTTCTTGACATTTCGAAAAACGACTTTTGTCTTACAGTCAATCATTAAAACAGGCCATTTAGATGAATTAGAACAACAATTTCATAGTCCAACACCAACAATAAATATGCATACATGGATGTATTGATTGACAGATAAGATAAAAAAGAATTAACCACCCATTGCAAAAAGTCCTATTGTACGTTAAAATTCACCAAAAAACTCGATGCATCATAAAATGTATTTCCGTTTGATATTAAATTGGTCGTGACATTAACAGAAATGAGCTACGTTCAATCATGGATAGAGAATGAGTATACGAAAAAATAAGGTCGCATAATATAGTGATCAAATAAATGGTAAAATATTGTTTTGTACTAAGCAAGCATAGACATTTATCGAAATTTTTAAGTACAAGTGGTATTTGTTGGTTATTAGGAATGAAATTATATTTGTAGAAATCTAAGTGATTGAAACAGAGCAGTTCGGACCAGCGATGCGTTTCTTAGATAACATCTTCACATCAAAAAGATTCAATACTTCACTTCTACCTAAAGTTTGAGCTGATTATATTGTTCAGAAGAAAAAGGAAAGCTCCACGACCAAACCATTCAGCTCAGAGAACGAAACTCCAACAAAAAGATTCGATATATGAAGATGACTAGTTAATTATTTGGTACAGATTTATCTTTGTGATTCTATTTATCATTAAGCGAAGAAATTATTTGGATTCAATCACTGAGATCTTAATAAATATGATTAGATTTCTAGTCTTTTCTACAAATAAAGTAAATGAACCCACTCACCAGGTATTTTAGTAGAAGTCACACTAAGTATGAGGGGTTAATGCTGCTATCCGGTTGCCTAAACTGATATAGGTGGAACGAGATTTTTCAATAATCTAGATATTTAATTTCTATCCATTTTTCACAATTGGGGATAAAAATCAAATCTACATATAACTCGTATTTCATCAGGTTGTAATTACACTAGGTGTTGATAAAGAACTAACACATTTTTATTGACTATGACTGGGAAGCCTTATAATTTGAAAATAATTCATTAAAATAAACAGAAAAAAAGAATAAAACCAAGACGTAACGTACAGCACTGGCAGAACCGAAACCACCCAAATATGGTGGATTGGGACTTGAACTCGCCAAATATATAACGTAAGCAACAGGTATCAAAGAGATGAGTGAAATACTAATCCATTTATTTTGAAGTGAACGCGTATATGCATTATGCATAATTATGTCAGGTTTTTGTATGTAACAAATTTGATTCTGTTCATTTAATTCATGGTTCATAGTTTGCAAATTTTCGAATGTTGATTCATCAGTACTATCTATTTCCCTAGAATAATGATTGACAAGAAATGTAGTTAACACTGTCATTGCAGCAGAGAATGATCCTGACAGTGTAACTGCTAAATGATATGTAAGCGAGCCATACGCAGCACATGAATAAGATTGTATGGCTGGTAGAAATCCATAATTTGATGCACTAATGTAAATGATAAGTAAACATGATAAAAATGTGTTTGGTCCAAGCTGTTTTGTAATATTAACATTATTATGAGACTGTACAGCTTGTTCATTATGATTCAACACAGAAACATCAACTAGAAAAATAGGCAAAAGGGGATTTAAAAGAGGATTACTGAACTTAACTTCATAGTTTATTGTCCAATGTTTAAAAGAGAAAACTAAGATATTTTCTTCCCATTAAAAATATGAATTTACGTTGTTATTGTAATAACTCAATCTGCAAGTGAACGGTTAGCAACTTAAGCTGTGATATAATATGGCAAACAGTATGGAGATATAACTTTTGGGGCTACAATATGTAGGATTATTATTTATATATTCATGTTAAATTAGCAGACGCTTAGATTGTTTTATATTTATATTTTGATATTACTAAGCTTTCGTTTGACCCATAGGTCATTGTCATATATATCTTATTTCAGATTTATCGTTAATTGCTCAATTCCCCAGTATTATGGTTTTTTACGACTTATGACTAGACTAAGTGAATACTGTAATTTCCCAAATATATTGCTGTGTATTTAGGTATTTCAGGTACGTTATTGTATAAGCTTCGAGTCAGTACTGAATAAAATAAAGAACTAATCGGCTACCTATCTGTCTTCTAATTGGAAACTGAGTTAAAAGGAGCTCAAGGACCGATAAGCATGAAAAAACTAAAATTTATGGACGACTTCTGAGCAACACTAAAATCACCTTTAGAAACTTCAAACACTTACTAGGTTCGAAAGGGAGTTGTGAATCAATGTGAGGGACTAGGACTGATATTTGACCATAGCAGCGAATGAATTTCGTGCTACAACTCAGGAGGTGCTATTTGAGATCTGGTTGGTTCATCCATAAATCATAGTTCTACCATAAAAATGAAGGTCTTGGTTGTTGTTTATTGGTCACTGTATCGGTTGCTAAATAGAAAGTCACTGGTCCTACTGACAGTATAAACAAACTAATCGATAGTTGGACTAAAGAAAGATCATACAACTGTTCCTATAATTACGGCACCACGACAAGGAAAGTATAACAATCCAAGCAATCCGTTTCTCTCATTTCAATGTTGTATTAGTCTGGTACCTAAATGGTTGATAATATCTTATAACCATTTTCTATTTCCCCAGGACCTCCAACAATTGAACATAAAACGGAAGAAAATAGGGGACAAGTATGAAAAAAAGCTTTAGTTCCATGGTAGGTTAATGTAAAAAAGCACGAATATTTATGGGTTCATGGATGACCTTGATATTTTGAAATCTTCTGAAATAAAATTAGTAACAAAATAGGTAATTATTCAACCAAAATATGACATAATCGATGGTTTTTCTAGAGGTTTGCAGGAAATTTCTATTCGTTGCTTGTTTTAATAAAACATTTTCAGTCTTCCCCTAGCTTCTAAAGACACTACCGATGACTTCTCGAGGAATCTCAACACGTGTTTCAGGTCTTTATAGAAACCATGGTAATCAGTACTAAACGTTACCTAATACGCTTTCTTACCAATCATTTAATGATAAAAAAAATTACATGAATATTGCTTGAGGTTGACTGAACAGGCGAAAATGAGTTTCAGGGACAACATCAAACAGATGAAAATCACGTGGAATAGGTAGAAATCAATTCATTACCGAATATTACTACTATTGTAAATGCATATATCTTATTTGAATGTCTTGCAGGTGAACTAAGCCTTTAAGAATCACATGTTTTAATTTCACATATTGACGCATATTCACGTTATAAGTGAAACAATGGCCTTGTAATGTGACAAGGGCAACATGTATCGTATTTTTTGTGCAAGTCACAATCATGTGATAGAACACCTCAAGTCGTATGTCAAATGTGTATATCTAAACACCCACATACAATGGAACTGCGAGATATGAGCGTAGAAAAAAGAACAATAACGAACAGACTAGTGTAAGGTTGTGTAATAATAATAATAATAATAATAATAATAATAATAATAATAATAATAATAATAATAATAATAATAATAATAATAATAATAATAATAATAATAATAATAATAATAATAATAATAATAATAATAATAATAATAATAATAATAATAATAATAATAATAATAATAATAATAATAATAATAATAATAATAATAATAATAATAATAATAATAATAATAATAATAATAATAATAATAATAATAATAATAATAATAATAATAATAATAATAATAATAATAATAATAATAATAATAATAATAATAATAATAATAATAATAATAATAATAATAATAATAATAATAATAATAATAATAATAATAATATAATAATAATAATAATAATAATAATAATAATAATAATAATAATAATAATAATAATAATAATAATAATAATAATAATAATAATAATAATAATAATAATAATAATAATAATAATAATAATAATATAATAATAATAATAATAATAATAATAATAATAATAATAATAATAATAATAATAATAATAATAATAATAATAATAATAATAATAATAATAATAATAATAATAATAATAATAATAATAATAATAATATAATAATAATAATAATAATAATAATAATAATAATAATAATAATAATAATAATAATAATAATAATAATAATAATAATAATAATAATAATAATAATAATAATAATAATAATAATAATAATAATAATAATAATAATAATAATAATAATAATAATAATAATAATAATAATAATAATAATAATAATACTAATAATAATAATAATAATAATAATAATAATAATAATAATAATAATAATAATAATAATAATAATAATAACAACAACAATAATAATAATACTAATAATAGTAATGGTAATAGTAATAATAATAATAATTCGAATCATTTGACTGTTAGTTGAAGCAAGAAAAGTAGTTTCCATAATTGTAGACAGTCCATCATTTGTGTGTGGGCTGTGATACTGCCCGGGTGCCCAGACCGAAGCAGGTGGTTTTCGTAGGGAGCCCCACACGCCGAGCCTTTGACCTAAAGGTCTGATCCCCAAGGCAGGGGAGCATCGTGAGGAGATGCAGTCCCATAGTAGCCGGTGACCAACGATTGATTCACACGTCATTTGTTCCTGCAGGATACTAGAGCCCATGGTTTGTATATAAACTCAGTATGTTTGAAATATTTTATTCATATCGCAGAGGCTGAGATTTGTGTTCTGGACTCAAGAAGGACTGATAAGGACTCTAGACTGCTCGTACGGTTTTATGCGTCATTGGTCCGGTTGATACGTCACTGTTCTCTAATTGGCGGTATCATTACGTTTTATAATAATAGGGCGCAATGCCACAAGTAATGGCAGAGAGATTTGGTATCGCAATGTTGATGCAATCTTTTCAAATGATTGTAGGACAAAGACTACCTACAAACGTAGAGGGTAAGTTAACACGTGGCAGTGGAAAATATGATTGTCGTTGAGCGTGTTCATACATAATTTGGTATTTTTATCCCTGTATGTTTATTTTTGTTGTTCGAGTTTACTGGAATATACTTTGTCCCTTTCCGATTCTTGTTTTAATTTATTATACCAGAACTCATCGATTTATGCTTAAGAACATACTTTCAATTCGACAATAAAATCTGCGAATAGATGAATGGAACACCATTGGGATTACCAATATCAGGACTTATTGCAGAGGCAGTGATGCAAAGACAAGAAACCTCGATTTTACCAGTGATCAAGCTAAAAATGTGAATCCGTTATGTGGAAGACACATAATTCATCACTAAAAACGACGAACTAGAAAACACCTACAATTTGATCAACAATGTCTTCGTTGACAGGAAATTCACATTGGAAAAGGAATCGAACAATAAACTATCACTCTTGGATGTACTGATCACCGGAACCGAGACTGAAAAGCTGCAGACTTAAGTATATCAGAAGCAAACCCACACAGATTAAATTCTCAACTACAGTAGTAACAACTCAAGAACTCACAAAATCAACTCCGTACAAATTCTGTCCAAAAGAGTGAGAACATACTGTAACACACTCCAACTCACCAGCAAAAATGAAGTCAAATATAGAAGCCGACAAAAAAATCACCCTACCATATATAAAAGACAGATTAGAAATTACGATATTATGGAAGCCCTTTAAAATAGATGAGGTACACAAGTCAGTGAAATCATTTAAATCAATTCACATGCAAAATGAGGGATGAAAGATCAGAAGAAAAACCCAACATTATTTACAAGATGAGCTGTCCAAATTATGAGAAAAACTACATCGCTTGCACAAATATCAACTAGCGGTCAAATGCCATGATATATCTTCGTTTATATCAATGGATGTGGACAGCTGTGGACATACACTCGACTAGAAAAAAATGTTGAAAACTAGGATAGAGGGGATATTAAGAACACCAGGGAATTTTTAGAAGCTTGGGACTCAAGTTAATTAGAAATTAACAAACATATCGAAATCGATTTATCGACCAATCGGAAAAATCATGAACAGATATAAAATCAAGAATCAGATCGAAGGGAGATATAATCAAAATGAAGATGCAGATAACGCCAAGTTGAAAGTCAAAAATAACCAATTAAGATTGAAGTCGATAGAACAACCTGTAGATCATATGTGGATAAATTCGAATATTTTACTTCTACCTGAAGTTTTTGCTGTTGTTGAGAAGAAAAATGCAAGCTCCACGACCAAATCATCCATCACAGAGAACGAAAACCCAATAAGATTGTCCACCTAAGCTACAAACCCTTTCCCCCACTTAAAAATTATATGTGCACATACTAGGCATTAGAAGAGCGTAACATTAACAACATAGAACATGATCATTAAAAATAGATGACATGAAATTGTCAATCCATCTGTACATAATGGCCATATGAACGATAACTCTTATTATCATTAATATCGTTATTGATAGTAACAATAATGACAACAATAATATAAATGATAATAATAACAATAATGATAATAATAAATTTCAGTAATCTAGTAGATCTATAGATGTCAATCCACCAACGACGGGAGGAATCAGGATGGCCATCAGACAAATCAAGGGCGGGAAAGCAGCAGGATTCGACAAGGCAAGCTTCCACTCGAGAACTATATTTTCTCCATGAGTGTCTTCGCCAGCATGTTCTACCAACAAGTGTAAGATATAGACCTCCAATCAACTGCCCATTAGGATGGAAAATAGCTTAGCAAAGTGGAAGAAAAATGGTACACCTAATGATAACGGATGCACACTACAGGATCCGCAAATACCAACACGTCATAGAAGACCATAAGATGAAGCTACAAAGGACGCTCACATCAGAACATTTGGAAATCGTGACAACAGCCATCGATATATCATGCAAACGACACAGAGAACAAAGAAGAAACACCTTAAAGAAAAAACTAATCAAGATCTCAAAACCACCCATGGAAGAAAACACAAACAACTACGTGACCAATCTGTCAAAACAACCACTAACAAATACGGAAGAACACCTGCTCCAAAAGGGATTAAACTACAATATAAGCGACGCCTCAAAGCTGGAGTTCTTCGCAGCACTAGAGTCATCACTCAAAACTTCCGGAATCAGTGAAGAAACACAACAGGAAATAAGGCAAACTATAGTACCGATAACTCAACAGGTGAAAGAAAACAACCAACTGACTCCACAAGAACAAAAGGCCTTGAAGGAACTCAGAAATAGAAAGGACATTATCATAATACCAGCGGACAAAGGACGCACCACAGTAATCATGGACAAAGAAGAATACGTCAACAAAGCCGAAGAACTACTCGAAGATAAGAGCACATACAAACTGATGGACACAAATCCCGTCAAAAAATTAGACAACCAAATTTCAAAGACTTTAAACAAGCTAGTCAAAGCAGGAGAAATAACAAAACAAGACCAATGGAGAATGAAATCCAGTGGACCAGTACTCCCTCGATTCTACGGCAGACCCAAAATACACAGACCAAACATTCCACTACGTCCAGTTGTAGCACTACCCGGAACACCAACGTACAATTTGTCAAAAGAAATTTCACCAATACTGAGACATCTAGTAGATTCAGCCAACCACTCCGTCAAATCCCCAACACAATTCCTGGACCAAATTAAGGATATTCAAATCAACAACGACGAACTCATGATATCATTCGACGTAACAGCACTGTTCACCTCAATTGAACCACAGTTAGCAAAAAAAACTATATCCCTGCTGCTCAACAACGACACAAATCTCAATAAATACACGAAGCTTCAAATTCAAAGTCTACTGGAACTCATCAATTCATGCTTAAAAACGTATTTTCAATGCAACAACAAAATCTACGAACAAACGAAAGGGACACCAATGGGATCACCAATATCAGGACTGATCGCAGAGGCAGTGATGCAAAGACTAGAAGCCACTATATTACCAGTGATCAAGCCAAAATTTGGATTCGCTATGTAGACGATACCTTCGTCATCGTCGAAAAGAATGAGCTGGAAAAAACTTACAAACTGATCGACAACGTTTTCAATGACATCAAGTTCACAATGGAACAGGAGTCAAACAACCAACTAGCATTCTTGGATATATTGATTACTAGAACCGACACAGGAAAACTGGAAACTCAAGTATATAGGAAACCGACACATACAGATCAAATCCTCAACTACAACAACAACAAGCCAAGAGCTCACAAAGTCAACTGCATACACAATTTGTTCAAGAGGGCGAGGACACACTGCAGCACGAAAAAATGAAGAGAAATACCTGAAGGACATATTTCAAAAGAACGGCTACCCAATCAACTTCATCAAAAAACACCAACCGCACGCAGCATCAGAACCCAAGTCAAGCACAAAAACCAACAAAAGAATCACCCTACCGTACATACAAGGAATATCAGAAACCACAACGAGACTGCTGAAAACCTTAGGGATAGGTGTGGCACGCAAACCGACAAAATCACTACAATCAATCCTATGCAAACCAAAGGATGAAATAACAAAGGAAAACAAATCAAACATCATCTGCAAAATGAATTGTACCAACTGCGAAAAACACTACATCGGACAAAGCGGACGCCCCCTCCACCTTCGCCTACATGAACATCAATTAGCAGTCAAACGCCATGATATCTCTTCACTTATATCAATACACGTGGATAACTACGGACACTCATTCGATTGGAAAAATGTAGAAATCTTAGACAGAGGAAACTCCAAAAACACCAGAGAAATTTTAGAAGCTTGGCACTCAGGTCAATCAGCAATCAACAAACATCTAATTTATCAACCAATCAGGAAAATCACGCATAAATATAGGAACAAAAATCAAACCAATGGGAGACAACCAAAACAAAGAAGTAAACAATGATAAATTTAAGGTCAATAAGAACCAATCAACATCGAGGTGCACAGAACAAGCTGTGAAACGTATGGAGAAATTCGAACACTTCACTTCTATCTGAAGTTTGTGCTGATGATGTCGTTCAGAAGAACGATGAAAGCTCCACGACCAAACCATCCAGCTCAGAGAACAAAACTCTACCAAAAAGGATCCGACAATATACCAGCTGAACCACTGAAGTCAGGCATTGAAGTAACTACAAACATGCTTTACCTTCTATTCAAGAAGATTTGGGAGGAGGAATAAGTGCTGATGGACTGGAAAGAACAGCTCATCAAGATTCCGAAGAGAGGCGATCTGAGCAAGTGTGGGAACCACAGAGGCATCACATTACTGTCAGTATCAGTAAACGTTTCAACAGAGTGTTGCTGAACCGGATTAAAGATTCAGTAGACGCCCAACCTCGAGATCACCAGACCATATTCCCCAGGGATCGGTCGTGCACAGACCAAATCGCAACATTACGGGTCATCGTTCAACAACCAGTTGAGTGGATATCGACACTATACATCAATTTTATTGACTATGAGGAGGCGTTTGACAATGTGGATAGGAGGACTTTATAGAAACTCCTTCGACACTATCAGTGATTAACTGATAAGATCGTTAAGATGATCCAGAATTCATGCAAAGTAGTGCATGGAGGACAGTTGACAGATGCATTGGAAGTGAGGACCGGAGTCAGACAAGGTCTCTTACTCTGCTCCTTCCTCTTTCTCCTGGTGGTTGACTGGACTATGAAGACCTCGTTAGCTGAGAGGAAACACGGAATACAATGGACAGCTCGGAATCAATTAGACGATTTGGACTTCTCAGATGATCTGGCCCTCCTATCCCACACACACGAACAAATGCGGATGAAGACAACGAGTGTAGCAGCAGCCCCTGCATCAGTAGGCCTCAGTATACACAAAGGAAAAAGCAAGATCCTGAAATACAACACGGAAAGCATCAACCCAATCACACTTGATGGAGAAACTCTGGGAGAGGTGGAAACTTTCACGTACCTGGACAGCATCATCAATGAACAAGGAGGATCCGATGCAGGCGTGAAGGCACGGGTTGGCAAAGCAAAGCCAGCATTTCAACAATTGAGGAACATGTGGAACTCTAAACAACTGTTAACCAATATCAAAGTCAGAATCTACAATACGAACGTCAAGACTGTCCTACTGTACGGAGCTGAAACTTGGAAAACTACTACAACCATCATCAAAACGGTGCAGGTATTTATAAACAATTGTCTATGTAAGATACTCAATGTTTGTTGACCGGAAAGCATCAGCAGCAGCCTACTGTGGGAGAGAACAAACCAGCTTCAGCTGAAAAGGAAATTATGAAAAGACGCTAGAAGTGGATATGACATACATTATGGAAATCATCAAGCTGTATCACTAGGCAAGCCCTAACTTGGAATCCTGAAAGGAGGCAGGAAAGAGGAAGGCCAAGGAACACATTACGCTGGGAAATGGAATCAAATATGAAAAGGATTAACAACAGCTGGAGTGCAGGAAAGGATTGCTCAAGACAGGGTTGGATGGAGAATGTTGGTGAGCGGCCTATTCTCCTTCACGAGGAGTAACAGGCGTATGTAAGTAAGTAATCTAGTACATGTCAGTGTACGGTTCTTTGAGTTATATTTATTGTTAGAAAATAATATTATTTAGCTACATAAACTGAAATTTAAAAGTAGTTCAGTCAGTAACTGTAGAAATTACTAAGAGGTTTGTTTTCTCTACACGATTATCATTATACCCATGCCTTTTCAACATAATAAACTCATGCTTTGTTAATAAGTTTTCACTTTCAATTCATAAAAATGTCGTCATAAAATCAAATTCATATAATTTCATAAACAAAAGTAAAACAAAACAAAATAGAAACATACCATTTTGAATGTTTTCGAAGATATCATTAGAAATATGTTGATCTTCATTTGATTTAAATCTTTCTAGATTATTGTGACTTATGCTATGAATATTTGCATTAGATTCTAATATGAAATTAGTTTTTCGATAATGTTCATGAATAACTTGACCTAAACCAATAGGTGAACAATCCAATAATGTGAATGCAGTTAAAGATAACAACAAAACAATACATAATAGATATATGAATGTACTGACAGAGAAACGTGGTGGTGGATAAAAAGGGACCACATGAAGTGTATCATTAACTGAAGAAGAAAAAAACATAAATAAATTGAAAGAATCATCAACAGTTTAACAGAATTGTTTATTTTATTATTAAGAAAATGTATGCCAATATCTCGATACATATTTGTTAGTATGTTTGTGTTATTTCAATTCAACATATTTTCGCTAAATATAAAAAACATTACACTTGTAGTGTCTAGTACTACGTCAAGTTCACATAGGTTATTTCAGCTTTCAAATAGACCCATTGATTTATAATTAGAGCTTATCAATTATTACTGACCTTGACTGTTTTTACATGAGCGTATTCGTATTGCTTACCTTATTCATCACATGTCTTCAGCTTATTTTCGTCTGAGCATAAATAGTGAGTCGCGTTTTATCAAATTGGATTGGCACATTGCCTTCATTTTACCACTTCTCACCTTTAATATCTGTCTGAATAAACGAATTCCTGATATAAATTTATTAAACTCAATCCGTATTTGACCTATTATTACACCGTCGCACAAACAAGGTTAACCTAGGTGTAATATACGAAGTTAAATGGAAGGTTTATATCTATGGCGTATTTAAAACGTGACTCAAGAAGAATAGACAAATTAGTCCATCCGGAAGCTAGAATAACCTATATAGGCTAGATACAGTACTAGACACTACAAACTAACCGTTAACATTAATAACTAATAACTAGGAAGTAATCCCGTGGTTAAGGCATTTGACTTTCAAACACTAAGTTGCAGGTTCAAAACCTACCTGGTATTATCTAAGTGGTCCTTCCTCTAATAACTAAAATGCGGCTTGAAGCCAAGTAAACGAATATGTAACCGGTAACTAAATGATAATAATTATTTTTATTATTATGGCTATGAGAAAACTTAAGAAATAACAAAATTGGTTATTATATCAGCACAAAATCAACATAAAACACAGTCCTGTTAACTGATTTATCTATGTATCCAGCTCCTTAATTAACATAATCAACTTAGCCTGACAGTTCAAACAGCAGGGTGATAATAACTGTTAGTGAAAGTGAGTGAGGTAAATTCGAGCCCCAAAGAGATCGATTTTTTCAAAATAACAAATGCATCTTGCTTGTAAGATCCGACTAACATGAAACTTAAGTCCAAGGCTCTCCACTGAATCTTCGCAATTATTTAACATCACAATAGTGCATAAAATAACGAGTCACTCAGTCTGTTGGGTACATTAAAACCTGATTGATAAAATTCAATCACACTTAGGGACTAGACAACATAACATAGCTTATTACCCAATGATTAGTTAGTTTAAACATTGCTATTGTGAAAGGGGGAGGATTCTAAACTCAAAAACTATGATTTACTTGTGATTAATAATCATGACAGTTAAGTGAAGGGTTCTGTCGCCACGTTGACAAGTACGCTATCTATCAGTCGGCTACATAAGATTTCCACTATAAGAGGATGAATGCCATTTGTTTATTTCGATTATTCACAGTTTTCATTAACTAAAGTGATATCAGCAGATTATGTATGGATCAGTAATCATAAAATGAGTAAAGTACACACTAATGAAATAACCATTTCATCCAAATACAAAAAAATTATTAGCACCAACAATAACAGATGTAATATCATTTTAAACTTTGTCAGACAATTAGTTGTATGCATATGGAATCTTAGATAAAAAGAAAATCATACTAATTATACCTGTTTTATTGATACATTCCGGTTCTGACCCAACTCCTTGAATAAGGGCTAATATACTTGGAACTAAATCACTAAATGCTTCACCGAAATGTAATGCACCTACATACAATTGAGGCATTCCATTCAAATAGGTAATAAATGTAACCGATGATGTACAATCAACAATTGAAGCAAACAAAGCTAAAACAAATAATCCAATACTATGGTAACCGGGTTTTAATATTGATACATAAGCTACCGACTAAAAATAAGGAAAAAAAGATGACAATAAAAAAAGTATGATGATGAAACGAAGATATACATACTGAGTGAATTGATATTAAGTATTACATTTATTTTTAAAAAAACGACAATTCATTTAACTACTGATGTGAATCAACACTCTAATTACTCAGTTTCAACAAGGGAGTTGAGAGTTAAAACTTATTCTTTTTGCTAATGTTAAACGAAAAATGCAGACAAGCACAACTCAATACGAAATAATAAATAAATTGCTATATTTTAACGACCACTATATACAGTGATTATATTATCTTTGAGTAATTAAATTTACTGAATGCCCGATTATAATTGATGCGTTCTTCTTCCGTTTACCATTTCTTGAAGAATATACATCACTCAATTCTATCCAAATCAAAACAAGAACCAAAGAGGACAATATATTTTTCAATAAACTCAAACAACAAAAGCATTAGAGCTTAAGTATATAATGTACATAAAAATATTCTAGCATTTTCTCGATTCATTCGCTGACACTGATTAATTAAAAAATACATTAGTTAGTGTATACTGATATGATTCTGACCACAATATTCAATAGTTAGGACTTTATTCAACAAACAATAATGGTAAAAGTTGATGTAAACATTAAATACTAAAGTAGAGCTCGAACTTTTAATCTGATGAATTAAAATCGATTATCTAAACCGATCAGCTAGAATCACAATTAAATGAAGACACAATTACAAAGTTAACTCAAGAGATAATTAAATATTCAGAAATTTTGATGAGTAATTTGTGGCTTTTTATGGGTCACATACAAGAATTTGTACCAAAATGTGCTATTGTATATTTTAATAGGTCATTGGAAACTGTGAAAGTGGTAACACAGTATTTTATTTTCTGTTTTAGAAATGACTGTAAGTTCAACTCTCTCATTTTCATTACCCATATAGAAGCAGGATCACTTCGGTCATTGAAGAAGCGAAAACAATTAGCAATAAGTGGCAAAAAAAATAATGACCATATCAAAATAACTTTATCATTAAATATATTGATTCACAAAATATGAATTTAGAAGCTTGTAAAGTAAAGATAGAAATCCTAAAGTTTAGGAACTGTCATAAATTGTTTGCTAAGGATAAAATAACAAACCATGTAAAAATGTTACAAACATCCATTTAAAGACTTTGGGTTTAGAAAAAATGTTTGCATTAGGTAAAAAGCAACCAAATGCATAACCTGACAAGTGACTATATTCAAAAAAGAATAAGTAAATTTTCTCACTCAAAAATAATTATCTATACTTCGCTTCATAAAATGTAGGATTGTATCAAACGTGAATCATATTAATTTGAAAGATTTGAGTATTGACAGAATTATAACACAAAGAATGCCCATATTGGAAAATTGAAAAAATAAGCTGATAATAAGATAGATATACCAGAAGAGATAAACACAGTGTTATCTTGGAAATTGATACACTTGTATACCGACTCAAGTGACTATAATTTTTATCAACATAAAGCAAAGAAGGCAACGGTTGTGAAGCGCGGTGTCCAAGATTTGATACTGATACTCAATTTTATTATACACGAGCCCAGCTAGTTATTAGTGAAAAGACGGAGAGTGAGAAAGTTTATAACCGAAAAAGATGAAAATAAGTCAGTAAGATGAAGATTATAATGTACAGAACGCAAAAGTACTCCAATTCAAAGAAAGCTGAACAGTGAATGTGTCCACATCACTTGATCCGTTGTTTCACTAAATGACTTTCCCAGACTGCTTAGTCAGGAAGACAACATGATTACTTACATGACTTAAACCAACTTCTTAAAACTTAGTATATTGATCTGACATATATTTATCTGATCACTGAACATTTTTCGCCCTACTTCAACTCCAAGCAGCATAATGACTTAAATTTGATGATACAGCGTACAAACTGTATCTCAATCAATGATTATACTACACAACTTCACCAAATAAGTATCACATTTTATCTAAAAATATACATCTGCATACACCACTACTCGTTAAATTTACTAAACATAAGAGATCTGCTGAAGGTGTCTGTAAATTAACAATTGTGACACATTTAGACACTTTTCAACAGCTAATTAGGTACCATGAACTGCTGCTACCTTGAAGCGGTGGTCGGGCTTGCCTATCGTGATGACCCAACCGAGCTATATTGGCTGGAATATATGTTCCTGCAGGTTCTACCATGCCAAGCAGGTCGATTGGAGAACGGTAAGACTAAAAGCAGCAACTCAAGGTCTGAGGGCGAAGTCGTACTGCTGACTGTAGAGAGGTGTGACAGCAGTAAGGTGTTTCCCTCGGACAACCAGCATGACAGCGATGCTGCCTTCCCACAAGGAGGGGTGGGGTTAGAAAAGGTCGACCCTAAAAATGCACACCTCACCTTACCTCACGGATTCCCGTCTCCGGCGGCAAGGCCCTTTGAAGAACGGAGCTAACACGTCAAAAACCTTCCACAAAAAGGCCGTGCGCGACCGGCCTCAAGCAGTTGTCCCTTGGGCTCTGCGGTCACGCTCCCAGGTCGTTAAGACCAACACTAATCCAATTTCCTTTTCAGACTCCTCAAGAAATACCCTTCTACGGTGTGGGCAGCCGGGAAGTGACATCAGCCCTCATACCCGTAACAGCACAAGAGACCAAGTTGGTCACATTCAAATCCCTCCTACGTCTCCTAATACCTCTCTTATCTCCATGACTAACCCTCCTCACGTCTCTTTATCATCTCGCACCGCTAGGGCAAACGATTCGAGTACGTGGAACGCCATTACTGGTCTCCTGAAACCACGCTCTAAACTACACGTAGGAGCTTTTAACGTACGAACACTTTGCCAAATAGGACAGCACGCTTCCTTAGCTAAAACTTTAGAATCTCGCGCCATCGATGTGTGCTGCGTCTCCGAAACGCGCATACAGGATCCAAGTAGCGTCATTCATTTGACCTCACCATGCCAAAATAAAGAACCGACTCGATTTACGCTTCGTGTATCTGGAAGCCCTGATTCTGCTTCCCGTGGCCTCGCCGGCGTAGGTATAGCATTGAGTCCTAGGGCAGAACTAGCTCTCTTAGACTGGATCCCAGTAGACAGCCGTTTGTGCGCTGTCCGACTGAACAGAACAGTAAGAATCCGGAAAGATAGGGACACTCGTCGTTGCCTCTTCGTCGTCTCTGCCTATTCTCCCACTGACTGCAGCTCAGATGGTGTCAAAGATGAGTTTTACAGAAAGCTTTCGGACCTTCTCCGAAAAGCTAAGCGCTCGGATGTAGTAATAGTGGCCGGTGACTTTAATGCTCAAGTAGGTAAACTAAGCGCTGGGGAAAGACACCTAGGTGGATCTTATGGTGTCGTGGCTCAAAGAACAGATAATGGCGACCGTCTGTTGCAGCTATGCTCAGATAACCGCCTGTTCCTTGCAAATACTAACTTTAAGCATAAGGAAAAACATCTTTTAACATGGCGACCCCCTAATTCGTCCCAACGTTGGACCCAAATAGATCACATCGCTATCAGCCACCGATGGAGGGGCTCGATAGAAGACTGTCGCTCATTCTGGAGCACATGCCTAGATTCAGATCATGCTCTAGTGCGAGCGCGTATTTGCTTGCGTCTTACTGGACGTAGGAAAGATCCTGCAAGGAAACCTCTTAGGGCCCTACTTAACGATAGTCAAGCTAAGAGTATATTTCAGGAACAACTAGGAAAACAGTTAGGCAGCCATGTATGTGATGCCCACCCCGATGCAGCATGGAATGATATCCGAAAAGCTGTGGAAACAGCAGTGATATCTGCTAGTAAGGTAAACCAGAAGGTTAGGGAGCAACACTGAATCTCAGCAGCATCTATCTCACTGATAAATGCTCGGAAACACATTCCACCTGGCTCTGAACATAATGAAGAGCGGAGTCAGCTTAAGCGCAAGCTGACAAGAAGTCTACGCAATGATCGCGAACAGTGGTGGGTAGCGAAAGCAAGAGAGATGGAAAAGGCAGCGGCAATAGGTAATAGCAGACAATTGTTCAGACTCGTTAAGGAAACCGGAATTAGGAACCCGACCGTTAGCGAAACAATCTCAGAGAACGATGGACATATCATACATTCTCAATCCAGGAGATTGGATCGATCGATAGGCAAAACACTTTAGGGATCAGTTCAACTGGCCTTCAGCCACACTTCGGTTTCCCACGATCTCTAGTCAACCTGAATGGCAAGTTAATGTAAGTCCTCCGTCCCTTTACGAAGTTGAAAAAGCCATAGGAAATCTGAAGCGAGTGAGAGCAGCAGGCCCTGACAGGTTTACTCCTGAGATTTTTAAGGATGGTGGTCCAGTATTAGCAGCAAGATTGACTGAGGTCTTAGGTAGAATTTGGGAACTGGACGTAATCCCATCTGACTGGTCTCAATCACTGATTGTGCCAGTCTATAAGAAAGGACAAAAGTCCTCTTGTGACAATCACAGAGGAATCAGTTTGACTAATATAGTGTCTAAAATATTAGCCTCAATAATACTTCGACGCCTAACTAAAGCTCGTGAAGAGCAGACTAGAGAAAACCAGGCTGGTTTTCGACCTGGACGTGGTTGTATAGATCAGATATTCACACTACGTCAGGTTCTAGAACATAGACACACGTTCAGACGCCCCACAATGGTAGTATTTCTCGACCTTAAGGCGGCATTCGACTCTGTCGATCGTAAGGTTCTATGGCAGTACCAAAGAAGTACATTAACCTTATAAAGGCTCTCTACTCGAGCACAACTGGTCGAGTGAGGGCTTATGGCGAACTGTCATCAGAATTGATTACCTCAAGTGGTGTTCGTCAGGGCTGTCCACTCTCTCCATTCTTGTTTAACTTTGCTATTGACATGCTTTTAGAGATAACACTCTCCTCATCTAAATTTACAGGGGTTGAACTTCAACCGGGAGATTCACTTGTTGACTGAGAATATGCTGATGACATAGTTTTATTTGGTGAAGACGCTGACAAAATGCAGAGTCTTCTGACCACTCTAAGCAACAATGCAAGCATGTTCGGGATGCGATTCTCTCCCACGAAATGCAAAATGTTGCTTAAGGATTCGGTTACATCGACACCCGAACTAGTGATAGGGAGTGAAGTAGTTGAGTGTGTCGACCGCTTCACTTATCTTGGAAGTCTCATCAGCCCTTGTGGTCTGGTGCGTGACGAAATCTCAGCACGGATACAGAAGGCTGGACTAGCTTTTGCCAACTTGCGTCATTTATGGCGTAGGCGAGATATCCGTCTATCAACCAAAGGACGTGTTTACTGCGCAGCAGTTCGTTCCGTCTTACTTTACGGCAGTGAAATATGGCCAGTAAGAGTAGAGGATATCCGTATGTTACTAGTATTTGATCATAGATGTCTTCGAAATATTGCTCGTATATCATGGGACCATCGAGTACGTAACACAGTTGTTAGGAAACGGGTACTAGGTAAGGATGGGAAATCAATTGATGAAGTAGTGAAACTTCATCAGTTGAGATGGCTGGGACACGTGTTACGTATGCCCAACCACCGACTACCTCGACGTGCGATGTTCAGTGGTATAGGAGTAGGTTGGAAGAAAGCTAGAGGCGGCCAAACCAAAACATGGCACAAGTCCATGAAGTCACTGACAAGTAGACTGAGTCATGTTGGTAGGTGTAGACTACCTGGTTGGGGACCACGAGATGATAGCAACCGATGGTTAGAGACCCTGAATGATATGGCTCAAAATCGTTTGTAATGGTGCAGGTGCATCCACTCTTTGTGTTCTCCCAAATTCTAATTTTCTGAATTCTTCATGTCCCTTTTTTCCTCTTTCCAAATTTATTTCACTGGATTATACTTTTTAAATAACATCTCCAAACCCTAATCTTCCCTATTACTGCTTATACTCTTGCTACCTCTACCACTACGGGATTTGAATCGACCACTGCATCTCTATGCTAGTGTGGTGTGGCAACTCGAACTGATGTACGTACGTACGGAGTTCTACGTTGTTACTGACTAACTGACTGACTGACTGGTTAGTAGACTTGACTATTAATCAACATTAGGTTATGGTACTGCATTCATAGATGTTGCAAAAATTCATAGGAAGAACTTATCCTGAAACAATGTTCTGTATTTACGAGGTCAAGACAAAAGTGAACTAAAATGGGAAATGGATATCTCCGACAAAAAGCACCAGACGTAGTTACTTATAACATTATCAGTAAAGTGTTCCAAAGAGAATGTCAATTAGGTAAACTAATAATGTTAGTAAATTGATGAGTTTTTAATGGGGTCAAACAAAACTCGTAAGGGTTAGTTTTCCTTGATTATCAACAAAATTCTAGTGATGAATTCAGACTGAATCTAGGTAGCATGTTGTTACATAATACATTGAGATGGCAACTTAAATTATTGTCTACACAACCATATACCATCTGATATTTTTTTCTTCTTAAAGGTGAAACAGTACTTCAAACTATCAGCACGACTAAAAAACAACACTTCGAATGTCAGTAGTGAAGGTGAAAACAGCTTTAATTTCCTCGACTCTCCAGAAATTATTGGTCTAAGAGGTCTGACGAATAAAAAATATATGTGTAATTTTTTTATAGCATTATGAGCATGACATCACAATTTTGCGACTCTGTTTGCTCATCCCAGAATATGTCATTCAATTTGCAAACTTCGGTTTGTGTTGTGGGATGGTGAGTCATTGACTGATATCTTCCCCTTCATTTTCATTAAGTTCTTATACTTATAAAAGCCTTTCTGTGTTTCAATAAGTTATTTCATTCGATTTATCACAAACCATTATGACGAAATGAACAGATGTATATCTGTGCCAAATTTTAAGCCATTAGAAATAATTCAAAATTAAATACTAATCAAAGGAATGCAACATTAACTTAACTATTAACTTACACCGCCAACTAAAAGGCATACATGTGCATAGAAAAATTAACGAATTTTCAGTTAGAATAATTATCATGCAGTTGAAACTATTCGAGAGAATAAACGACGAACTAATTCATATCAAATTATTTCGAAACTGATGAGGTAAATTTATGTATCAATGCCCAGGTTGAACTTGATAGTTTTAAATAAATTGAGTATTGGGTAGAAAGCTAATAATAAATATTTTGATATATCCCAATGACTAGAAAATTGTATTTCTGACGTTTCATGACTTAATGTAAGTCACTTCTTCAGAGTAAATAAATAACCGAATTAAATTAACAAAAGTTTAAATAGTACGAAGGAGAAATGGGGAATATCTGTAGTAAAATCAAAATCGCAATAAGTTTAAACATGTCAAAGTCATGTTATTTTGGTCGAGATGATTCTCTATGACATATCAATTTGTGTGTAAGAAGGTTTCTTCAGTAAGACAATAACAGCTCCATGCATGTTTGTCAACATTTTCTAACGCATAGTTCAATAAAGATCTGCAGTTTTCTTGATAATCAAAAGATAAAATATATCTAAATCTAGCGAACATAACAGTACTTACGTTCCAAAACTGCGAAATCAATATGCATGATATTAGACCGACAGCGAGTATTAAATAGTTGGCTATCCTTTCAGGTGGTTGTAAACAACGTGAACAAAATCCATTTGTTTTAGCTTGGAAAAATTTTGTCAACGGAACATAGATCATTGGTCCCACATTTGCTATCTGGTAATGTATAAACAAGGAAAATGTGGGATATCTGTACTTAAGGACAAACAGACAATGTAAAGATGTGGACAAATAAACAGTTAGATTCTACTCCTCCATACGTCATTCAGGCAACCACATTACTAGTAGCACGCACGTTTTTATACGGTTTAAACAGCTACGAAGTACGTTTCCTGACAGTCGACTACGCAGACGAATATTATATCTACTGTGCAATACTCCCTTTGGTAATAATATGAGTGTCCTACAAACATTCTTCTTAATTGTAAAATTGTTTCTAGGGAAACTATGGGTGGTATTCGCATCATAGAATGATACTATGTTAACAAGGCTACCGAGATCAGAGAGTGTCGGACAGTTGCTTCATTTTATTTGGGATTTTTCAATAGAGTTTACTTTACCGTTCTTCCCAGGATATTATTCAGGATTTTGACGTCCCGCAATTTGTACATTGGTTCTGACTAACTGAGTTTAAAACCAATCGTTAAAATTTCCTAAAATTAAACCACTTTACTAAGCAATTGTGATAATGAAGTATCAGTCATCATATAAAAATTCTGGGAAAGAAAAAAAAAAGAATTTTATTCTCATCATAGGTTACAAGATTTTTATGTCGAGGGAAGCCATTTGATTGCTAAAACGACTAGCTGAGATCAGGATTCGAATGAAGATTATGGCATGGAACATGGAGACAGTAGAAATATAAAAGAAAATCCATATAGTATGAAACCAACTAAACTGGACTATTTGGATAAATTCAGTCTTCTCATATAGAGTAAACCCTAAAGTTAAAATTGATAATTAGACACAGTAAACTCTTTGTGAAGGTTTGTATGAAGTACAGATTCTCATAAACGGAAGAGAGCCTATTATTAGATGTTTATTTTCATAAAGAGAGAAAAATCCCTGATACAGTAGTAACTGAAAGACTAATTTCGGCAACCAAACGTTATCTTGACTTTGTATGTAGCTTTATGTGCATTTAAAGGCAGTACCGAGTTTCCAACACAAATCACAGGAGATCAGAAACGTGACAAATACCTATGTCCTTGACGGAATGGCTATCTACAGTAATAAAATAACAAACGATCTATGAAGTTCCAGGGTCTCTATTGTAACTAATTTACAAAATCTTTTGGTAAATTAGCCTAAGCTATAGGAGTTCTAAACAAATCACCTGACAGGTGAGATTTCGCGAAAATGATAGCGTCAGAAAAAATAGCTGGTAACGTCTGGCACTTCACGAAGTGTTGGGAGACTTAAAAACTCATAACATGAAAATCAGACCAAAGTAACCATCAGAAAACGCTACTAGGATAAGGCACCAATCCGCAAATCCTTAAAAAGTAATGATTACGTAAAGCTGATAAAAACACCGGTGAAATACACTGTGATTGAAATTCTTACTATATGTATTAATGAATTTTTTTATTTTATTCGATTAGAGATCATACGTCCGAAAGTAAATACCTATAACGTTGATCTGAAATTCTCGTTATTTTTTCTTATTATCAGCCATGGACGTTCATGAGGGCTTAACAAAAAACAATAAATATTACGTAAAATAACCTGTGCAGGATATTAACAAATATATTTATGCATGTAGATTATGATTTTGAGTAGTGCTATAAGAAGCATAAAGATGAGTTGAAAACTTCGGTAATATTTAAAGCCCTTATTTCGTTATTTTCAATTTGATATTAGCATTTAACACCGATAAATCTAGGTAGTATTCGCATATACATTATCTATAATCTAAAGTACTTGTATAATGATTATCAGGTAAGCAGGCAAACTCCAACCTTCTGGTAGAACATTGATCAATAACGGTAGTTCAACCCACAATCCATTAACAACAATCCATGATCCTAGACCATATAAACTGACAAAACAAGCTGCAAGCCATGTGAACTTTATGTCATTTTTTGATGGGACCATGCTAAAATGCGGAAGTAAAGTTATGTGCAAATATATTTAAGAAAACCAAATAACATTAACATCATGAATAGAGATTAATTTTAGCTGTTAAACAAATAATTATTGGAAGAATAAATAATTACAAAATCAAGGCAATTTAAAAATCATTTGATATTGGGGTTTTTACAGTTTATGTAGATAATTAACATTCACTCACGAAAAAAACATTACGAGTAGTGGAGCAACCTCAAATAATAATGACCCAAATTTAGAGAACGTTCCATCAAAGATAAAATTCTGATGCAGACTTGCACCAATTTAACTCAAATAAATTTTAATGTGCCAAATGCACCAATTTTTACGTTGCACTAAAAATGAATATCTTAGTACTTAAATGTTGTTTTTATCATTTGAACTAACGTGATGGCAAATAATATCCAAAGCAATCCATGAGGCTTTTTATGATCGAGTTAGTCTCAAGAAGTAAAAACGCTGAAAATTACTTTCTAAAGAGTTGCGGCTACTAAACTATCAGGAACAAAAAAAATCAATATTACTAACAAACTATTCTTTTCATCAACAGTATGTATATATTTTACCACTCATAGTGCACTCGCGATAAAAGTAAAAGATGACCTGAATCCTTCGACTTGTACATGTGTTTATGCCCGATCGAAGCTGCTACCTTGACGCGGTGGTCGGGCTTGCCTATCGTGATGACCCAACCGAGCTATATTGGCTGGAACATATGTTCCTGCAGGTTCTACCATGCCAGGCAGGTCGATTGGAGAACGGTAAGACTAAAAGCAGCAACTCAAGGTCTGAGGGCGAAGTCGTACTGCTGACTGTAGAGAGGTGTGACAGCAGTAAGGTGTTTCCCTCGGACAACCAGCATGACAGCGATGCTGCCTTCCCACAAGGAGGGGTGGGGTTAGAAAAGGTCGACCCTAAAAATGCACACCTCACCTTACCTCACGGATTCCCGTCTCCGGCGGCAAGGCCCTTTGAAGAACGGAGCTAACACGTCAAAAACCTTCCACAAAAAGGCCGTGCGCGACCGGCCTCAAGCAGTTGTCCCTTGGGCTCTGCGGTCACGCTCCCAGGTCGTTAAGACCAACACTAATCCAATTTCCTTTTCAGACTCCTCAAGAAATACCCTTCTACGGTGTGGGCAGCCGGGAAGTGACATCAGCCCTCATACCCGTAACAGCACAAGAGACCAAGTTGGTCACATTCAAATCCCTCCTACGTCTCCTAATACCTCTCTTATCTCCATGACTAACCCTCCTCACGTCTCTTTATCATCTCGCACCGCTAGGGCAAACGATTCGAGTACGTGGAACGCCATTACTGGTCTCCTGAAACCACGCTCTAAACTACACGTAGGAGCTTTTAACGTACGAACACTTTGCCAAATAGGACAGCACGCTTCCTTAGCTAAAACTTTAGAATCTCGCGCCATCGATGTGTGCTGCGTCTCCGAAACGCGCATACAGGATCCAAGTAGCGTCATTCATTTGACCTCACCATGCCAAAATAAAGAACCGACTCGATTTACGCTTCGTGTATCTGGAAGCCCTGATTCTGCTTCCCGTGGCCTCGCCGGCGTAGGTATAGCATTGAGTCCTAGGGCAGAACTAGCTCTCTTAGACTGGATCCCAGTAGACAGCCGTTTGTGCGCTGTCCGACTGAACAGAACAGTAAGAATCCGGAAAGATAGGGACACTCGTCGTTGCCTCTTCGTCGTCTCTGCCTATTCTCCCACTGACTGCAGCTCAGATGGTGTCAAAGATGAGTTTTACAGAAAGCTTTCGGACCTTCTCCGAAAAGCTAAGCGCTCGGATGTAGTAATAGTGGCCGGTGACTTTAATGCTCAAGTAGGTAAACTAAGCGCTGGGGAAAGACACCTAGGTGGATCTTATGGTGTCGTGGCTCAAAGAACAGATAATGGCGACCGTCTGTTGCAGCTATGCTCAGATAACCGCCTGTTCCTTGCAAATACTAACTTTAAGCATAAGGAAAAACATCTTTTAACATGGCGACCCCCTAATTCGTCCCAACGTTGGACCCAAATAGATCACATCGCTATCAGCCACCGATGGAGGGGCTCGATAGAAGACTGTCGCTCATTCTGGAGCACATGCCTAGATTCAGATCATGCTCTAGTGCGAGCGCGTATTTGCTTGCGTCTTACTGGACGTAGGAAAGATCCTGCAAGGAAACCTCTTAGGGCCCTACTTAACGATAGTCAAGCTAAGAGTATATTTCAGGAACAACTAGGAAAACAGTTAGGCAGCCATGTATGTGATGCCCACCCCGATGCAGCATGGAATGATATCCGAAAAGCTGTGGAAACAGCAGTGATATCTGCTAGTAAGGTAAACCAGAAGGTTAGGGAGCAACACTGAATCTCAGCAGCATCTATCTCACTGACAAATGCTCGGAAACACATTCCACCTGGCTCTGAACATAATGAAGAGCGGAGTCAGCTTAAGCGCAAGCTGACAAGAAGTCTACGCAATGATCGCGAACAGTGGTGGGTAGCGAAAGCAAGAGAGATGGAAAAGGCAGCGGCAATAGGTAATAGCAGACAATTGTTCAGACTCGTTAAGGAAACCGGAATTAGGAACCCGACCGTTAGCGAAACAATCTCAGAGAACGATGGACATATCATACATTCTCAATCCAGGAGATTGGATCGATCGATAGGCAAAACACTTTAGGGATCAGTTCAACTGGCCTTCAGCCACACTTCGGTTTCCCACGATCTCTAGTCAACCTGAATGGCAAGTTAATGTAAGTCCTCCGTCCCTTTACGAAGTTGAAAAAGCCATAGGAAATCTGAAGCGAGTGAGAGCAGCAGGCCCTGACAGGTTTACTCCTGAGATTTTTAAGGATGGTGGTCCAGTATTAGCAGCAAGATTGACTGAGGTCTTAGGTAGAATTTGGGAACTGGACGTAATCCCATCTGACTGGTCTCAATCACTGATTGTGCCAGTCTATAAGAAAGGACAAAAGCCCTCTTGTGACAATCACAGAGGAATCAGTCTGACTAATATAGTGTCTAAAATATTAGCTTCAATAATACTTCGACGCCTAATCGAAGCTCGTGAAGAGCAGACTAGAGAAATCCAGGCTGGTTTTCGACCTGGACGTGGTTGTATAGATCAGATATTCACACTACGTCAGGTTCTAGAACACAGACACACATTCAGACGCCCCACAATGGTAGTATTTCTCGACCTTAAGGCGGCATTCGACTCTATTGATCGTAAGGTTACTGACTGACTGACTGACATGTGTTTATGAATTTAATTGCTTTTGTGGAAACAGCTACATAAAAAATTCAGTAACGTCATCGTTACCATCTAGAATATTGTTGTGTGACCAGAAAAAGAAACAATTAAATACATGAAAATGTCAATACACTGATTCAGTGGACACAACATAAAATCTATAAAAGCTTAGTATTCGACATTATGGATAGTATTGTCAATGAAGCTTTCAAAATTTGTGTATCTCCACTTACTAAGTATATCAGAAGCAATATGCACCAGAACTGAGTAATAAAATTTATGCACACGAAGTCATTTTCTTGGATTCCATCCTTTGTACAGTAAACATTCATTGCAACCCAAAAGCTGGTATGGCTGAGAGTGGGGTGGGCTCGCCCTCCCTCTCGAAATCCTCTCACACGGCCACGCGTATACAGCCTCTGCCAGGGAAGTCCTACTCATTGCCTTCTCGTGGCGGGGGTGTTGTTTACGAAAATGAGAGGACGAAAAGCGAATGTCCGGCGCTTTAACCGGATCACAAACCAATGGTGCACATGGGCTCCAGTATCCTGCGGGAACAAATGGCGTATGAACCAATCGTTGGTCACCGGCTACCATGGGATTGCATCTCCTTACGATGCTCCACTGCCTTGTGGGTTAGACCTTTAGGTCAAAGGCTCGGGGAGTGGCCCCCTAAGATAACCACCTGCTTCGGTTTGGGCACCCGGGCAGTATCACAGCCCACACACATATGATGAACTCTCTATGCCTATGCAAATTACTTTCCTCGCTCCGATGTAGTAAATAATAATAATAATTTGAATCATTCGACTGTTAGTTGAAGCAAGAAAATTAGTTTCCATAATTATAGACAGTTCATCATTTGTGTGTGGGCTGTGATACTGCCCGGGTGCCCAGACCGAAGCACACAATCACACGCTACTCTTTACCAAAACGTTCAAAAGCTGTAGGTGTTAGATTCGTGCAAACTTTGTGGAACCACCCTTTGCACTCATCGTACTGTATTTCACTTCCCACAGGGTATCGACAGCTCATGCGTTAGTAATTGCTTTCCGGATTGTTCAGTCATCAAACAGAGGTTTTCAAATGAATAAGACACAAGAGGACACGCGGAGACAAGAACCGACAACCAGAAGGAAAGTAAAAAACCATTAACTGTTAGATCCAAAAATGCAACAAAAAAAGACAAACACACTTTTAAGATAGTACAGATGATTGCTTACTTTCAAGGAAAAACGATACTATTGATGTTACTTTAGCTAAAATAAATTCAATCAAAAAGAGAACAGTGATTTCGATGCATGATAAACGATAAAAACTATAAATTTAGCTCAGCGAGGAAGAATACTACTGTCCTTTTTAAAGCAGAGGTTACGGTTGTTCAATGCAGAGAAGCCCTCCACAGAATACTGATCAATGGATAATCAGCTGCGAAAGTAACGAAGTAAATTTGATTACTAGTCGCAGATACTAACCAACCAAACATATTAACGACATTAGGCACTTTGTATGAAGGGAAGTCAATGTCGTTTTACGAACTATATTCTAGGTTGTTCAGACAACCCTAAATTTATGTTGATGCTACTCTAACAATGTTTTATGTCACCCAGACAGTGTACCTGACTATTGCATTAGGTGGGCGTGGGTTATCATGACCTAAGAAACAGAATCTAGGCAGTCTCCAAAAAATTATGAACCGACTGGCTTTAGAAAATCATGAAAATTATCAATAAAACCATTATGACTCTCCTTAAAACCCAATGCTTGTAAGACGGTGACCAGTATGACTTTAGCAATGGTAAGTCATGCAAAAATGAACTTTATTTGCGGGCTGGTCAGCAAGACGTAAATTGGATTAACTTTATAGAAGGTTTGGACGAATTTCCTGACACTACGGATATTGGATCCGGAAGGCTTAAAGACTGCCAAGTACCCACGTAGACAAGCTAGAGCCTTCGTAGTTAGCAGGCAACACAGACTAAGATCATCTAGCAGAAGACAACAAATGAAGAAACACACTAAAATAGACTAAGACGAGACCACTACTAATTGAAATAATTTAACTTGTAAACACATCCACAGTCAGTCAGTCAGCTACAACGTAGGACCAGGCACATATATTTCAAATTCAGATTTGTGTAGTAAGGACAGAAGGCCTATGTTATTCCTTTTCTAGTATGCTTCTGTGAGTGTCCAGTCTTCTCTTGAAAGGGTCAACTGAAGGTGCGAACACCACTGCTTCAGGCAGCAGGTTCCAAGTTGCCATACCTCATTAACACAACAAGATGGACACCGGATTCATAAAAGTAGTTAATTCAGAGGTGGTAATATATAAGAGAAAGATTGAAATAAGGATACAGTACAGGAAGAAAGAATTAGTTCGTAGAAAGAAAGATATGAAGCGATTTTAATCTCTTAGTTTAAGGGAAGATAGAGAGTGTATACACCGACGGAGAAGTAATTTTCAGACAATTTAGTTTTAAGAATACACTACTTTAGTCTTATTAGTTGCATAGAAACACACAACGACTTACTCTTAGAGGTCACTTAGCGACAACCTCAGACGGACTATACATATATAACGCAACAGTTGAACAATCCACTCTACTCAGTTTCAGTTTCAGTTTGGGAAGGACAGGAGGCTTGATGGCCTATGTTAGTCTTGGCAATGGTGGTCTCTCAGTTGATCCAACTTTCTTTTGAAAGAGTCGACGGATGGAGCCTCAACCACGTGCTGAGGTAGTGAATTCCACTCGTTGGTGATTCGATGGGAAAGTCGGTAGTCAGCTGACAAGTAATTTGTTCTCGGCTTGTGAACTTTTTTGGAGTTGTGGAGATAGACCTGACAACCTTATTTTGTAAATAGTTTTCAATGTTATTTCTATTTGTTTTGTCAATTTTTCACTGTATGTACATTTATCATTAAATGACTGTACGTGTTGTTTTAGTCAACGACCTTGAACACTTTTTCCGTTGTAATTCTAACATAGTGTGACACACATTTTCGGTTGTTCACAAATACACTACTACGCACATACCCATTGTTCTATTGTCGCTCGTTACCAAGTCAATTGCGTTCTAAACTGGATATTATCCTCATTTCGGACTGCAGTGTCATTCCCATTATATCCTACGTCAAAGAAACTTATTGGCGTCATATTTACCTCTGTGGAATTATTACGCATTTATAATTGTAGATTTTTGAGACCAAAACTCAACAGAACACGCAACGACTAGCCGATTTAAGTAACGTCCCTAATTTGTTATTGTATTTGTAACATTTAACTTGTAAATATTAATATTACTATTGATTGTTATTAACTTTGTTGATACTTTTGCGTTTATATATTGTTTGGTCCACCACAATTAATTGGTGAGCCTCGATTTTTTTTATAGACATTTACCTTATATATCTGCATATTTTTTTTTATTATTATTACCTGGCACGACATCATTTTTGTTTTTGTCATTATGAACTCTCCGGGTAAACTTATTGATATTGATAGTTCACCGACCAACCTTCTAAACTCTCCACAACCAGAGGATAATGTTTTAAACTCAATCAACGCTATCTCGGAACTAAGACTACCAACGTACGGTGTTAATAATCCCAGGATCTGGTTTGCACAGGTTGAGGCATTATTTTTGTCGAGAGGTATACGCTCGCAAGCGACAAAATATGCATACATCGTTGGAGCATTACCCATAGAAGTGGCAGCAGAAGTCGGAGACCTGATAGATAACGTACCAGAAACGAACCCCTATGACAAAATAAAAGCCGCAGTAATCCACCGTACTTCGCAGTCTGATGAAAAACGCTTACAGCAACTACTCACCGCATGCGAGTTAGGGGACAAAAGACCTTCACAGTTGCTTAGACATATGAGACAACTAGCAGGCTCATACAAGTTAGACGAAGCATTACTTAAGCAGATGTGGTCACAAAGGTTACCTTATAGCGTCAGACAAATTCTCAGCGTATCAGGAGCCTCTGTCAGTCTTGATGATTTAGCAGACATGGCCGATAAGATGATAGAAATATATCCCGATAGTCGGGGAATTTACGCAGTACAACCTGCTAGTAGAGACGCTATGAACCCTACTTTTGACATTCAGCAACAAATGGCACACTTAACACGGCAGCTAGCATCACTGCAGGCGACTATCTCCACCATCCATTCTCGACGCCCCAGGTCTACGTCCAGAAGGAGATCATTATCCAGACATCGTCTTAGGTCACCTAAGCGGGCAGCCAGAATTTGTTGGTATCATTCGAATTATGGTGAGAAAGCACGTCGTTGCATAAAACCGTGCAACTTCACGACAAGCAAGCCAGACCATCAGGGAAACGAAGTGGCCAGGCAGTAATAGCGGCAGCTGTTACTGGCCAACATGTCAGCCGCCTCTTCCACATCAGGGATCGTATTTCTGGCTCAGACTTCTTAGTCGATACGGGAGCAGAAATCAGCATCATCCCACTCCATCTCTCACGCAGACAACATACGACAAGCACTAAATTGTCCTTGGTAGCGGCTAACGAATCAGTTATCAAAACTTACGGAGAACAATCTCTTATATTAGATCTCGGGCTCCGCTGAAGATTCACATGGGTATTCATAGTTGCTCAAGTCAAACGACCCATCCTCGGGGCCGATTTTCTTAGTGCGTACAACCTGTTAGTTGATATGACCAACAAGAGATTAATCGACGTAAACACACGTTTACAGGTAAATGGTACACTGTCCAACGACAACGAGATCCATGGTGTTCGAATAATGAAACCTGTGAACAACATCTTCAACGACATTCTAACAGAATACCAGTGCATCACGAAATCAGATTACCAAAAGGAAGGTAACCCACAGCTGGTACAACACCATATCACTACCACCGGACCACCTATTAGCGCCAGGGCGAGGAGATTACCACCAAGCAAGTTGCAAGTAGCTAAAAGAGAATTTGAACATATGATGCAACTTGGTATTATCAGACCATCCAACAGCCCCTGGGCCTCGCCGTTACACACGGTACCAAAGAAGGACCAAGATTGGCGTCCGTGTGGTGACTATCGACGATTAAACAATCAAACCATTCCGGATAGGTATCCTATTACACATATACATGACTTCGCGTTAAATTTACATGGTAAATGCATCTTCTCGAAACTCGACCTCGTGCGTGCATACCATCAAATTCCGATGGCACCAGAAGACATCGAGAAAACAGCTATCATCACACCCTTTGGCCTGTTTGAGTTTCTAAGAATGCCATTCGGATTGAAAAATGCCGCCCAGACATTCCAACGATTCATGGATGATGTCACAAGAGGTTTAGACTTCGTATTCGCCTACATAGACGACGTTTTGATCGCAAGCTCATCAATAGAAGAACACGCTCAGCATGTTCAGATCCTCTTTGAACGTTTTAAGAAACATGGCGTGGTTATCAATCCTTCTAAATGTATATTCGCCGTCTCAGCCTTAGAGTTTTTAGGACATTACATTGACTCTCAAGGCATCAAACCACTCCCAGACAAGGTTGAAGCTATTACCAATTATCCCGAACCAACCTCGGTGAAGTCATTACGACGCTTCCTCGGTATGTGTAATTTTTATCGCCACTTCTTACCACATTGTGCTGAAGTATTACAGCCATTAACCGATCTGTTGAAAACCGACAAAAAAGGTACGAAGAAAGAGAAGACTCAGACATTCAACCTACCCCCTGACGCCAAAACAGCATTCGAGAAAGCAAAGTTGATGATATCTAATGCTACCATGCTACAGCACCTAGACACCGATCCCACAACAAACCTCATCCTCTGCACTGACGCCTCCCAAAAAGCAGTAGGAGCAGTATTACAGCAATGCGTTAACGACAAGATTACTCCTATAGCTTTCTTTTCCAAACGATTATCACCAACTCAAGAGCGCTATAGCACCTTGGGACGCGAACTTCTGGTTATGTACTTAGCTGTAAAACACTTCAACCTCCTGCTTCAGGGACGTGATTTCACCATTATGACTGATCATAAACCACTTTGCTATTCTTTCAACACGTCCTACGATAGACACTCTCCACGGGAAGCCAGACAACTGGATTACATTTCTCAATTCACTACGGACATCCAGTTCATCATAGGCTCCTCCAACATTGTCGCTGACGCTCTATCTAGGAAGGATATCAATATGGTGGTACACAACCACAACATCAGCCTTGAAGCTTTAGCTAAACTACAAGTGGACGATGCAGATTTGAAGACCTGCAAAGAGAAGTCTTACTTGAACCTTAAACCTGTACCCATTCCTTTCTCAGACGCATCTATTATTTGCGACACTTCAACGGGTAACAATCGCCCCTTTGTGCCACAACCCTATCGACGAAAAATATTTCAACAGCTACATGGACTGTCGCATCCAGGCATCAGAGCTGCCACGAAGCTTATCACAGAACGCTTTGTTTGGCCAAAAATCAATTCGGATGTTAAACGTTGGACACGTAACTGCCTCCAGTGCCAACGCAGCAAAATCCAAAAACACACTATCAGCCCGATCGGGGAATTCCCTATTCCCGACAAACGTTTTCAGCATATTCATTTGGACTTAGTTGGGCCACTGCCTCCGTCAAACTCCTTCACCCATATTCTCACCGCGGTGAACAGGTTCACAAGATGGACCATAGCCTGCCCTATAAAAGACACTTCAGCAGAAACGGTCGCTTCAGTCTTCCTCGACCGCTGGATATCTAACTACGGAGTACCTTACATCGTCACTACCGACCGTGGTCCCCAGTTTCAGTCTATTTTATTTCAGGAATTCACAAGACTTCTGGGCGTAAACCACATCAAAACAACAGCCTACCACCCAGCAGCTAACGGCTTGGTCGAAAGATTTCACCGCCAATTGAAAAGCTCGCTGATGGCACAAAACGATACGACAAAATGGAGTGACGCATTACCACTTGTACTCCTGGGTATCCGTTCAACTATAAAAGAAGATATAGGTTGTACAGCCGCTGAGCTAGTTTATAGTACAACCCTTACATAACCAGGTCAACTAGTGGACCCAAACACTTTAACACCAACGGACCCAGGTCGTTTTGCTAGCCAACTGCTGCAGACCATGCAACAGATCAAAGCCATACCGCCTCGTGAACATAACAATCGAATACAACTCGACAGAAATCTAGAAACATGCAAGTTTGTCTTTGTTCGAGTAGATGCTGTCAAAAAACCATTGAAACGACCATACGAGGGTCCATATAAAGTAATTAAACGCACACAAAAATACTTCATCATCAGCAGAGATGGCAAAAAGCAGACTATTTCTATAGACAGAATCAAACCTGCTTTCTATGAATCTACTCAAGTCAAAGAAGACAACGCCGTTGACAATCAACCCCTTTCACCAGTGACTGAAAAACCAGTGGAGGATAAAAAACTTAATACTAAGCCTTCTTGTTTAACACGCTCTGGCAGACCTATAAACAAACCCAAGCGTTATGTTCATTTCGTCGATTAAAAAAAATTTTTTTTCGTTTTCCTTCACACAGTGTACTTAATCACATTTTTTCCACAATTATTCGTTTTGTCACTTTTTTTTCATAGAAAAAAATTTGTCACAATAATAAACGAGTAAACCCTATTTAATTATTCATTTGTTGTACACACACACACAAAAAAAAAATAAGCAGTTCATTTTTTTTGGGTTCAGTAACAGTTCTGTACATTAGTATCATTGTTAGCAAACCAAGATTTTAAATGACGGTATTCTCATTACTTTTGTTTGTCATGCTATGTCACATCACCGCTATTTTCACGCAATAACACACTGTATATTATTAACGTACATGTCATATGCATCTCCACATTGTTAATTGGTTATTATTGTAAATATTATTTTTTTTGTATAAAATTTTTATTATTGTTATTGTAACCAGTGTTACCTCC